ACACGACCATACAAACACCACTCGGTCACATCCCAGACATTACAGACTCATCCTCATCCGAACATACGAATCACGATTTCCAATCCTTACTCATCCTGAACCTCACACTGCTATCTATCTCCAGCAATAGTATATAAAAGCTTGCAAGATTGAAGAATCGTCAGAAAGAGTCTAAGTACTTAGTCGACCTAATACAAGTTGTACTGAGTTTCTTAAGAAAATAAAGTGTTGTCAACGCTCCTCCTTCGCGCTATTCAATATTGTAGAAAGCGATCTTGTCTTTATTCGATCGAAAGCTCTTACGTGGATGGAGCTTGCAAGATTTTTGTTGTGCCTACCCCGTGCAATTAAATCGCGAGGCGAATTCGCTTCATTGAAATGTCGTGTAATTAAGATGGAAAGAACGTCGACGATATTTAATATCTCCGTTGGTTAATAATTAATCGTGGAAAAAGAGAAGGCTCGTATTGAAACCGTAGCTCCCGTTTCCTTATCCTTACAAGGCGCGACAATTAATGCAGATACCGGTTTCCCTAGCCTTTAATGAAGAAACATATCGCTTATCAGACTCGATCCGGTGTAACACGATCCATAAATCAATTGTTCCGGACCCTGTAATAGCGTCTAGTATCGGTTTCGTTTATGTAGCTACACGGGTCGAATTAACTATCCTGCCACTGCTAAGCATTACACTATAATCGAACGAGAAATTCTCGAAAATCGATACCGAGTTTGCGGTCCTTATTCCGTAACGAAATATTAAAATATAATAATATTAACGAAACCAGTCGTTGAAGTGAAAAATACTCGAGTGGCGAGATGTTATAATCTGAACGAGATTAAGCAAGAATTCTCTAACCGAAAGGAGGTCCAAACTCTGACTAGAAAAAATGTAAGTCTGAAATTAGTGCCCTAATCTCCCAGTCCTTAAAGAATTCCAAGCCTAAAACCGTGAGGTCCGATACGATATCAATTATCTCGGTTTCCGTGTCAGAAACAACAAACTTCGTAGGATTCTGAACAATTCCAACGTTGACAGGGTATTCTGGTAAAAGTCTATTCGCTTTTAAGGAATTACGTTTACTGGAAAACGTTGATCAAAGTACGAATGATCAACAGTTCCGTTAAAACTGCCTTTTCTGTGTACGACGTTAATGCCGCGATATGAAATTATTCTTCCAGGCTTAGAGACCGGAGAATAATTAAGGAAAGAGGCGACGTCTGCGTGCTCTCGACGAGAACAATGGCCGACGAGAGCACAAAGTACGAACTGAAAGTCAGGCTCATCCCTCCCTACGACCTTTTGAAGAAAACTCGGGGGCAAAGAAAGAGACGATGATGGTGGAAAATTCTGACCGGCTCGTCGGTCGAATCTACCTGATAGGAGATCCCGACGATGCTCGCTGCCATCAACGTTTCGTTTCCTTAATGATCGTAATTCGACGAGTCATTGTTTCCCCCAAGGGCACGTTTGCACACCTGTTCGACCGCGTGAACGCCTTCCAATTCGTAGCCCCGGCTTATTTGGCCCTATTGTCGACTAATTTCCCCGAAAGATCCAAAGAGAGTTCGAAGGGAAACGAACGAATAACGAACATCTCGAAAGACCGTGGGAGGTCCTGCTCGACATCGACAAACTTTGGGGCAAGTTCGTTCGACCGTAGGACGATTTTAGGCAAACGTGGACGTAGAGTATTAATCTTTCGCGATTCCAGATAGTAAGACGATCGACTTGTGGTCGCAGGAACGTTCCTTCATATCCTGTCCGACACGATGGGGACATTCGTTGGCGTCAGTGATCCCTAAGCCCCGACAAAGGAGGAAGGAAAGCCTGTCGCGAACACTGTTCTCTCCCAGTCGCTGCTAAGTCGCCATCAATTTTACCCCTCGTCAAAAAGATAGTCCAGGTGTTCTATCTCTAATTTCTCCACGATGCATGTAAAGCTTTTCGCCTGTTACGTACAATAACAAAACATTATAAGCTCAGAATATGTACATATACGGTTCCGAGTGGAACCTAAATTTTTAAGCACGAATCTCCGGAAGCTTATCCCATCGTGTAGAATGGGAGGTACTTGCGATCGTAGAAAAGATCATCGGGAAAAGTGGCATCTTTTGTAAGATAACGAGTCCCGAGTGCAGGTAGAGAACTGGACAGGTAAATGACAGACGAAGAAAGGTAAAACGAAAGCTTGTAAAAGCGAGGACTAACGGTCAAGGTTATTTCTCTGACCGACCATCCCCCGGATGCTTCCATCGGTCGACTTATTAACCAGTCGTTAAACACCGTTTTTTACGATCGCGTCGATACACACGTCCGTTGGCGGATTTCGACCTCGGGGGCACGGATTAAATAGAGGTGTTCATTTATTTAGATCGGTTCTAACAGTTTCCGTGGCGCAGAGCGCTCTCTGTTAGGCAATTGATCGTGTCTGGGAACTGTCAACGTCTCGTCACCGTTAACGGAACGCAGACCAAAGAGAAGGCGCATTAGCATCCCTCTATCGCGACCACGTTTTCACCCAACCTCCGACAACGTCCATCGTTCCATGGAACAGGTTCGAACTTGTTCGAACGTCTCGAACAGACCCTGTTTCCCTGAACGAACAACGGTGCTTCCGATAATAAGTTTCCAGCGTGTATGCAACGTTTATAGCGCCAGTTTCGCCGACGGGAAAATCACGAATAGTTCGTTCGATTCAAGGAGGCAATTCATTCTGTATCGTTTATTAACCAACGCAACGTGCATTCATTGTAGACGCGTTTGAAATATTCTTTCACGGGGCCCCCAGTCTGCACGCACCCTCTGGCGTGATTCTACAATACCTACTGTTCCCCAACTAATCTGTTATTGTTTCCGCCGCGATTATCTAAGAACAATCGTATTCGGTGAAAAGCAGAGCCACGAACGGGTTAAATATTCGTTTAATCGCGTGCTTGCGCCCTCTGGCGCGCCCCCGTTGAAACTATTATTCCACCGTGCCATTATTTCCCTAACGATGCCCATGAAAAATCTCTAATTATTCCAACCTTTATTGTGTTTCATTTTGTATAAAAAAAAAAACAAAATATATGGATGAATCCAGTCGAATGGTTGACATTTCTACCCCAAAGATAAAGTATTTTCAAATATCCTCTCCGCTAGTGCCAGATTTTTTTTTCCCCCGCGTGTACTAGATACAGTTGTCGCGATAAAACGTGGAACGAACGACGCTTTTTTTTTTTTTTTTTTATTTCGTATACCCTTCGCTCTCGCTACACCTCATGTTCTTCCCAGCTCTTTATCGCCCGCGAAACCCACGCGGCTTCTGTTTCATCTCCCCGATAAACGTTTATGCACGCACGCAAAAACAATAACAGAAATAAACCATTCCAAGATGGCCGGACGAAACGATCAAGAGAACGACTCGCACGAAACGCATTTCTAATACGCTGCCCCTTAGATCTACACGATCGATAATGGCTCGATTTACGCGGTGCTATTTATAGACGCGATCGCATTTTTATGCGGTTGATAAAATATAATTTACCTTTCTTTGGCGCTGAAATCCTAACGAAAGTTGCAATCCATTGGTTAACCTTTCCTCCGTGAACTTCTTTTTACCAATTCTTGTATTATTTAATAAGCTTCCAAACCACTTGTAAAAGATTTATAGACACTTGAGAAGCAAACACCACGTCAACGATTTATCTATTACAAATTAGAGTTGTTAATACTGGGTAATACAAGGTATAGGTACAAATACTGTTTCAAAACCTAACCCCATAAATGTAACACTCTGGACACCATTAAAGATGGTGGCTGTGTTTCGTAACTTGTAGGTAAAGAAACTGAAACGGATAGTACACTAAACTATACTTCTGTGCATCTCGTATGATACGCATTCTTATCGACAGGGATGAGACAGAGTACATTAACGCCACAAACAACATAATCTTAATCTTCGACAAATTATTTTTACCAACAGTGATTACAAATTGCTTACGATTCGACTGCCATCATCATTAATTCGGATAAAGTTGGTACTTAATGCTACGATAAATGCCAAATTCTAAGGGTTATCTTTACAATAAAATGCTTACATAGCTGTCGTTCCACTCTTCGTTCTACGAAATTTTAGTCATGCGTCATGTTAACGGCACGTATAATATCTTGTTATCTATTCGGTGCGAGTAAATACACTTTTGAAGCTGGTCGTATTTGATTGTACCGATTTATAAGGCCCCAACAGGCTCTCACTGTATTCACGCGAGATATACCTAACTGATAGATTAAAATTTCCTATTGTACCGGTGTCTAAAACATTTGTTACTACGCTAATCATAACACTTTCCAAAACATTCTTTCTTCGAAGGGACATTTCGTTTAAAACAAATAACCGCCACGATGATACGCTAGCAGCGTAAATAAATATCCGAGTAAAAAAGGTTGAAACTCTTGGGAGAAGCAAGTAAGTGTTTATTTTATCTGTGGCGTTTTCGACTGTTGGTCGTACACATGACTAGAGCATGTTCGTAAGTTGAGGTCCGACGTGAGAACTTCTTGGAATTTTTCTTTCGCTCGTTTTCTTCCCAACTTGTTGCCCCATCCTCTAAGAAACACAGCCCATAATTCAATGGCCATAAATATTTCGTTGAACGTGTCTCTTTGCACGACTTCTCAACGAAAGTTCGCGAAATAAATCACGGATCGTCGTAAATTACGAGCGCGGCGTTCTAATTTCGCACTTTAATATTCTTTAACCTTACATTTTCCAAACTGTTTGAAAACGCTTCGTAACGACCAGACACATTCTGTGTGCTTTAAATAACTTTTGAAAAGTGGAACGTACGATCAATCTAATTTTCAAATACCATTTTCTCGATAGAAATATTACGAAAATTTGGAGTTAGACAACGTTAGACAGGTCAAGCGTAACTCGGTTCGATTGGCATAAAAATCGAGATTCAAATACATAGTGTCATAGTTTTAAAAAAACGAATGTGATTAGGTTACTCACATGAAATCGCCTCCTTCGGAATATCACTGGCAGGAAAGCCTTGCGACTCGAAGTACGGCTTGACAGCGTCACATTTTAATCCGGCGCGCACCGTCGTCGTCGCGACGCTAAGGATCAGGATAACACACAACATCGACAGCACGCCACTCATAATTATTCTCGTAGAAAGCACACGCGACACACTCACGAACTGACGCGACAAATACGCGAAATCCGACACTTGGGTCTGTACATTCGTGGCAAAATAAAGAATTTGAGATCGCCGCTTGGTTCGGCAAGCACGTTTGGCAATTCGAAACGCACAGCGCCACGATGGTATCCGTAAAAAAGGGGGGTACAATTTAAAGATAACCGTTGACAATTTCGCGAGAGAGGAAGCAACACGATACGATACCGCCCCTACGGTGGCTCGAGACGCACTGACCGACTCGTGGAAGAGAACGCGTGCCGGCAACGGGACGCATGCGCACAACAGAACGACTTCCAAGCAGTAATCGGTTTGAAATGTAGCGTGTAATCGCGCGCCACACTAGTTGCCATGCGCAGGCCGGTAAATCTATTTACATCATATTATATTGCATCTACACAATGCATTTACAAATTACTTCTAATACTTAAATTATTAATTTTTAACGTAACATTTCATTCATTCAATGTACGAAATAAATAGCAAATTAAGGAATTTATGTCACCTTTACAGTAAAAAAAAAATAGAATTTTTATAAATATACATATGAAATAAACTTTGCTCAACTCTGTTAAAAAAATGGTGCATTAAAAGAAGATTGAATAAACACGCATGAAGTAATTCAGAACATATTTAATGCAACAAATGGTTAACAATATAAGAAGCGTAAAACATGTCCGACGAAGATTCAAATTTAAGGCACTATTAATATCTTCGTACGAGTATTATCTATTTTATATTGGTGCGTTATAATATTGGACGGCATTAATACTTTAATTATTGGACGGAATTACTATTATTGCCTATTATAAACTAGAACTAAACATTAAAACCTATCGAGAACTAATACAGATGTAATTGTTATTGCATGAGGTTTTATAATAAACCAAGGATTGTATCCTTGCAGTCCTTTGACACTGATTAAACAATAAAAAATAAGTAAATATGTATCATAGTCTTTTTCTCTTTTAAAGCGCGAAAAACAAGTTTAAAACAAAGAATTGCAGTCATTCAATACTGATTTCAAAGTCTACAATCAAAGAATATTAACAAAGTATTGCATAAGTACTCATTGCCTGAGGCTAATGTTAGTAATGACTTATACAAAAGTTATGTACCATGTATCTGATAAATGATTTCTTTAACAAAAATATATAAATGTTTTTTGAACTTACACATGAGATCAGACAGTATTAATTTGTTATGTTATATCACTTTCTAAAAATCACATGTACAGTTTGCAATATACGTTATTCAAAACAATTAGATGGTCGCAAACTTGTGTAACTTTATCTTATAGTAATATAAAAAATGATTTTTAAAATTTGATTCATTCTCTTCGATTATTATTACCTCTAATTGTTTCAAACTACGTGTATACACATGAAAACGTGACATGCTTTCTATATGATGAACGTAAACAATAAGATGTGTCATATTTGAACTGTGCATACTTACACTCATGAATTACATGTACGTAACTGTGCTGTGACACAAGGGGCAAGCATTAATATTAACAACATCACGCTCTGTCGCGACATAGTGCCTACAAACAGTACATATCCACGCGTTACTGAGATCCATTAGTGGCTTTCCAGAAATGATACAAGGCGGAAATCTAGTCATACAATTAGGACACGCGACGCACCAATCTGGTACAAGACTTTCGCAATTCGCACACTCCGTTTTAGAGTTGCGTACATCTTTCGGGCTGTTTTTGGTGAAAATATCCACCGCCAAATCTTCGTACTCTTCTCTGGTCGATTCCGAGATACTTTCCAACGATTCTAATTTAATGAACGCCTTGGAACAGACAGCAAAAGCATGATTAACTGCGCTGGACAGAGCAAGTAGACAGTAAATATCCTCAGGTTCCAAAATGTCCTCGTACTCTCGGAGTCGCAAGGCTGTTTTCATGGCTGCATCAATGTTTCCTGAATATATTTGTCTATGAGCCAATAAAAGAAAGTGATTCGCTTCTGCGCCCTTCCAGGCATTCTCTATGATACGTGTATCTTCATTGTTCTCTGCTATACCCATCACAACGTTGCTTCGGGCCCCTTTAATTGCCGGAGTACTGTTAATATGATCCTCGATCAGCAGTGCTGCCAGAACATAGATCTTCTTCACGCGCAAGGGATTTGTTCTAGTTTTCGTCTGCTCCTCGGCCAACTGAAAGAGTAACTTTGCTGCTTCCAGATTGTAATTTGCTTTCTTGTACAGTTCTACTGCCTGCAATCTCTTGCCATTGGACAAAAGATGAGTGGCGTACTTATTTAATAATTCGCCAATTTGGGCCATTTTATAGGTCCTGGCCAATTCGACCGCCTGGTCCCAATGATTAAGTCGGACACAAGTATCCACGGCTAGTTTCACGTCCCCGTATTTTATATAAGCTGCAACTGCCTGGGAGCACATGCCCACAGACGCTAACATCCTTGCCACTGTCTTCAATAAGGGACTCTTGTCTGGTAATTGTTGCACAGTTCCTGCCAACTGAATAAAGTCTTCCAACTTGTAGTAACACTCCACCAGCTTCTCCAAATTTCTGCTCTTTTCGTAGTACTCCCTCGCCCCCTCCCAATTCTGTCGTTCGGCATAATATTCTCCAATTTTGTTATAAGCATACTCCATCTGTTTGTCAGATCCACCGATACCCATTTTCATCAACTGCACCACGCGAAAGTAGTCCCCCAGTTTCTGACGCAATGAGATCGCCAAATCTCTTCTATCCATGTCTAAGTATAATTTCTCCGCTTCATCGTAGTTACCAAGGTACGCCGCTACCTCAGCTTTCTTCAACTGATCGTTGTGCACGTTCTGCAGACGTTTTATAAACTGTATGCCCAAGTAATCCGTACAACGGACCATCGCGTTTTCCGCAGTTTCCAAGTCCAGCTTCTTCAGCGCCGACTCCGCCAACAAACGCCACAATCGTGGATGCGGGTTGTCCTGAATGAAGTTATTGGCTTCCTTCAGTCCCACTTTATCCAATAGCTCTCTCGTGTCTCTCAAAGACTTTACTTCTAAATCTACTATCAATTCGTTTTTTGTATCCTCCGGTTTTTGCATAAGATCATCCAACAGGACACATCGTATCTCTAAATCTTGGAACGAACAAATATATCCAGAACACGATATTGGTTCTTCGGGATCATATTCTCTTAGGACATACATTCTGGTCTTCTCTATGATTGCCAATAAAGTTGGATTGTCTTGCGCCCAACACATGGCCCATACATCTTTTCTTTCAAATTTGTTTACACCATCTGCCGACTCTCCGTCCTTGAAACTGTTTTTTTTAGAATCTGCATCCAAATCCAGCATAGTCAAAACACCAGTTGTATCTATGATGGATACCCGTGACGCGTCGCAATTAATTGCAATTTTAAAAAGTTTACAGGCCGTATTGTACCTATTTGTGAGAGTTATCTGCGGTAAGGAATACCGCTGAATCATTCCTGATTCTCTGCCTACCAATAAGACATTGTCAGTCGCGGATAGGCAACAAATAGGGTCCATGGTAGCTTTAGTATTGATAGGTGTTACAAAAGATCTGTCTTTGTCTAAATCTTGGATTACTTCTGTCACGCCGGTCGGAGTTTCGTCTATATGATAAATTTTATCTTTCTTAAGACGCCCTGTATGCAACATGCTATTACGCGGAGTGCGGTAACTCCATACCAGAAAATTATTTTTGGATGCAGTAATGACGACACTGTTTGTCATGGTCACCCATAGTGGCTCCAAATCTATGAACTTTGTATCTATTGGAGTGGCTATTGAATTGCAAACTAAAAGAGCGAATTGTTCAGATCCTTGTACCATGTTATTCTTCACTGCTAACACGCAATGATCTCCATACGAATCTAACGATATTAATGCTCTTACATATTTATTGCAACATGTATTATTGACTGTGTTCCAAAACATAATAGAAATGCCGTCTTTGCTGATCTTTTCATTTGTATACACAACTGTGTTACTGAAGTATGTCCACTTGTAATCCAAACGGATATTTGCAAAATATATATGAGAATCAACCGACAAAGCTACTCTGAGAGATCCTCCTTCCCATGCACAGCATGTAACCTCTCTACCAGGTACTTTCAGAGTTCTCATATGTTTACCAAACGGAGTATAGAACTGAATGACATTAGTGCCTTTTGTTTCCCCATTACCTAACATTGGCATCAGACCTGTTACTGCCAATAAAGAACCACAACTATTCCAACAACACCATGCTGTTGTCATACCAGTTTCTATTACAATTGGATTATCATCATTTGTACCTCTCATAAGTTGTATTTTACCATTTCTATAACAAATAGCTAGAGTAGGGCAATCAGAAGCAATATAGCCATTTCTTCCATCATACCATTGCAGTGCCATTATTGTTGGAGCCTGGCCACTGTTGACTGGTATCATAGACAACTTTGTTAAAAAGACCCCTTGATTGTCATAAAGATGAACTTCGCCATTTTTTAAACCAAACAGCAGTAATTTCCCATCCGGGGACCATTGCACAGCAGCAAGAGATATATTCTTCAATTCTTTTCCCCAAATTCTATTGCCTTCAACAGAACCAACAATAACTGCTCCATCTTCATAAACTATGCAAATTTTTAAACCATCCAAACTCCATGCCATTCCTTTGACAACTGATTTATTACAATTGTTTATCATCTCATCGTACCAAGAGCCTTTGTATAACATCCAAACAATAATCACACCATTTTGATCGCTAGAGGTCAATTTCTGGTGCTGTTCGTTCCAAGTGACTACTTGTACATGGCTATTATGACCTTCTAAAGTCTGATTCATACTTAAATTACTAGCAGCAGTTAAATTACGGGACTTCCCACCACTGGTAGAACTATTAGCATTGGAATCCACTCTAAGCACTTTCAATAGTCCATCTTCTCCTCCAACTGCTATATAACCTTCTTTCTGATTCCATGCTATACAATTAAGCCGAAAATTATTTGGTATAGCTATCTTTTTACTCAGATACACAAACATTTTATTAAAGTGGAATATGTATTCGATATATATTTTTTCTTATTAGATAAACTTCTGAAAAAAAGAACACCATAACTCCAAATTACAACAATCTACTTTCATGCTAGATTTATACATTTTTTGAGTCACATTACTTACATTATTACACAGCGATTACGCTTATAACCCTTGTCAATTAATAAACATTATTTATGATCCGTCATCAAACAATTTGAATGATTTATACGAGTTTTATAAAAACAAAATTGAAGAAACAGTTACTGTAAACAACCATGTTTGATCATACTACGGACGAGGTATAGGATAGACTATACCAGACTATGCATCTTATGGAAGATGGTGTCACCTTAAAAAACGGTGATCTTGGGAACTACAGTTAATTAAACTACATTTACATATGTATTATCTATTATATATTATATACATTACTTAACAAGGATGTCTGTAAGGTTAAAATAAAAAATTTTGTTCATATATTCAGTTTTGTATGTATAAAAATATAACGTTACAACATTTTGTTCGTAAGACTATACAATTAAAGTACTGTACATATAAAAGCATTTTCAATTTGTAAACTCCTTAATCAAAGGTTTAAATATCACGAGATCATACGATAATTTTTTCGCAATACCTTTCCCTCGCCATAAACAAAGCCAACACTCGTACACGTCAGAAGACATGTTCACGATTAATGTACAAATTTCTGGACTCTCGATAAATATTTCTGAATCAGGATACGTGACGATACTTTCGCATCCATTGATATCAATATGCGCCAGCGTTGGTGTGTGCTTCAATAGTAAATTTAAAGATTGTGCACTTACACCTTTATTTCCTCTAAGCACCAATTTAGAAATATTCGACGCTTTCGACAATATATTTCTTATATCGCTATCCAATAAATTACACGCAACAAGTTCTAAACGTTCTAAGTTTGCGAACAAAACATTTTTATTATTGAAAGTGCTTTTAACCATGTTAAAATCGTTTAAAAGAACGGTACTAGATAAATTTAAATTAAGTAGCTGTCTCTGTAACGAGGTGCAGAATTCATCCTCCTTAAAGTTGTTCCAAGAAATATCCAAGTTTAGCAGACCATTGTTCTTTGAAAGAAATTGAACATTAGACAGTTGACAATATCGTAAATTCAATGTTTGCAGTTGCACCAGAGGAACAAGAAGTTTAGAAAGTATTTCTTCACTTGTTGATCCAAGTGGATTATAACTGAGATCTAAATACTTGAGTTGCGGGGGTAGTTTTTCTAATTTATTCAAACACTTGGAATCGATATCGCATCCTTGAAGGCATAATTCTTGCAAAGTCGATAATTTCAAAATGCAATCATGCAGAACACTCCCTGCTTCGTGCAATTCTTTATTGGATAGATCTAATATTTGAATGTTCTTTTGGTACTCTAAAGTTTTTAATACAGACATAAGTTCTCTACTACTGACATCTTCTTGCTTCAACCGCAAGATGAACATGTTCTCGCACGATTTTAAACACTTTAATATGAATTCACGGACATCTGAAAATATTAAAAATAATAATCATAATGAGAAATAAATTGGTAAACTCGAACAAAAGTTACTTACCTATGTTGTAAGTTTGACAAATAATCCGATATCGTTCAGCGATAGGTGGTATCTCTAATTCAATCACTTCACATTTGAAATTTTTAACAATGTCTCCTTCGTTTAAAATTGTAAATATATTATCAGAATTTACAGCAATACCGTTCATAGTTTTTAAATCGAACTTCGCGTTACATCCGCTATCGTCGTAAAATTTCTTTTCGATATCCATTAAAATGTTTTGTACCGACGGTTTCGACACATTTGAGATTTGTACCTGAGTTTGAAATACTTTCCCTTCGACGCATACATTTAAAATAATCGACTTTACTATAACATCAGCTTCTCTCGATTCAAATTCTATGGGAGATGGGTTGATAGGCGAAGGTGTTCGAGAAACAGAGTTTTTGGTAAAACCAATTGACAATAAAGAAGTCTGTTGCTTTTTCTTCTGAATTCTGCGCACATTAAAAGAATGCGCTATTTCGGTATTACAACTATCATTACTTTCATCTTCGATCTGATCAAATTCGTTGTCTTCTATCGTAGGACTCACAACCATTGTTTTATGACGCTTCGAATTATTCTCGAGCTGAATATCATCATTACTAGATTTCCTCTTTATTTTTGGACTGATATCTTCATTGGAATATCTTCTGTTGTTACTACTTTCGTTAATATCATCCTCCAACCAATCATCCAAAAGGACTTCATTCTTGTTCAAAAGCGGGTTGATTATACGTTTGGGACGAGTCAAGGATGCTCCAATCGGGTCATTTCTATGCTTTAAGCTGGCTATAGTTCTTTTATAATCTTCGCCTGCAGAGACCTTTTCATCGGTACCACTTCTGTCGTTGATACAATTTCTTGAATTGCGTGATAATTTCTCTGATTGTTTGCAATTTTTTCTCTTGCTTGCTGGTATTATAGCAGACAATTTTGAATGCATTTCGATGTACTCAGCTTGTTCTTCGGGAGACAAATAATCAACACGATCTTTCCATTGCTCCAAACAATCTAGTACGGTATCATCTTCGTTTGCCGTTAGTTCCACATTTGCACCATACTCCATTAGGAGTCTCATCATCGAAATATTGCCGCAAGATGCTGCATCGTGAAGTGGAGTAACTCCCTGACACATGATGCTCCCAGCATCGTTTACGTTCGCACCGTGTTGCAACAATAATTTTGCTACCTCCACGTAACCATGATTGGCCGCTTCGTGAAGAGGAGTCCATCCAAAATGGTCTCTAACATTTATCGAATGACCATCAGTTAATAATTTCTCTACCGCTTCGACATTGCCATTGATGCAAGCTACATGAAGCTGTGTTTCACCCTTTTCATTTCTTTTTATCACGACCGTTTGTTTCCTTGTTCGTTTCCTATACGTTTTACTATTTTCCTTGGTTTTCAATTCAGTCTCTATATCCGACAAATCTTCCAAGCAAATATTCGCGCCGATATTACTTTCGTCTATCTCATCTTCGCTGTCAGAACTGCTTGGTACTTCTTCCAACATATCCAGTTTCTCCTGAATCATTTTTATCTCTTCCGTTTTCCCAGAATTAAGAAAATAATTTAATTGTTCTTTTAAAACGGACGTCTCCAAAGAAGGATCGGCGCAAATTTTTGCATTAGTCCAAGCTAAATTGTAAATTTCTTGAATCTTGTCGTCGGTTGCTTTGGTGTCTATCAGTAAATCTGCCAAGAATAAAGCTGATCTACAAATTTCACGCGAATCTGTGCAAAGCTTTAACTCCCTCTGTGCAAAATCTAACGCTTCGTTGAAGCGTTTTACGTCCTTTAAAGTTTGAGCTAGACTCAACAAGGCTGCTCCTGTACGATCGCTTTCGATCTCCTCTGCGCAGTTAAGCATCTTTCGATAATAATCGATAGCTTTTTCGAAACATTTCGCGGCAACAGCCGTATCTCCTAGTTTTTCATAAAGTCTCAACTTACCGCTTGTACTTGTTTCTGTCTTTAAAGCATTCTCAGTTTCATTTAAAGTTACCACTACAAAAATATTACATTTTTTAAAACAATGTAGTTTATTATAAATACGTTCTCTTATTCTATTACTCTCGCGTCCAATAAACTACGACGTTTTAAACAATTTATTATGTAATATAAATTAGACAGAAAAGAAAATACAACTTTCATCATTTACATTTATCAATTTCATTTTTATGGACATACCTATTCTGAGAATCTTTTCTACTTGACATTTAATATTTTCCGATAGATTGTCCGTAACGTAAAGGGAAACTAATATCTTGCGCGACTCGCACCACCTTTCCATTCTTAAAAGTAGTTCTGCCTGTAAGTATCGCGCCTCTGCTTTTAAGGATGGATTGTCAATCTCAGTGGCAGTTTCGAAATGTTTTAACGCCGATTCATAGTCGTTTTGCCGTTCATGAACTCCACCTAGGGCAACTTGTGTTCTGTGAAAATCTTCTTGCAAATTATGTGCTTCGCACAGTGCTGCAGCTTTCTCCATTAAATCAATAGCCTGCTGCTGTTCTTTCTGAATTTCTAACACTAAACCTAGGTTCAAAAGCAACCGCGCCCGCATTGTAATCAGTTCCTTCAATTCAATATCTGTGTCTCCTAATCTAGATAGACAATTAACAAATCAAATATATTTTTACATTCCATAATGTCATATTGACTAAAAAGTTAATATATTTGATTTGATTATATATGATGAAATACTAAACTCATTACAAAGCCTTATACTTTTCATATATGCTTTTTTTGCCCTTTTCAGGGCTTTGGTCTTTTTCTCAGACTCAACCAGGCTTTCAGCCCAGCAGAAATATGTTCTACCTAATGTGGCATAAGCTCGTTGTTCTTCTAATAAATTTTTTATCTCTTCGGCTCCTTCTGCCTAACACAAGAATTTTGTTATAATTGTTTAATACAATTTCACTGATCATAAAAATTAAAAAAAAAAACAAACCCAAATAATGGTTTTGATGCTTTAATGCTTCCTCATAGTTGTTAAGATTCGTGTGTATCTCTCCAATCATTCTGTGGGCCACTGCAATGTTTAATTTGTCTCCTAAAATACTACAGACTTCCAATTGCTCTGTATATTCTTGCAATGCATCTTGAAACTTTCCAGTTTCAAAATACAAGTCCCCAAGCTCTTTAACAACTTCAGCCAGCTGTTGGAAATTACCATCTCGCGTGACCCGCTTCTTTTTTTTGAGTAATCCTATTATTGCATAAAAAGAGATTAAATAATAGGTAATGACTGAAGTCCAAACAAATTCTAATAAACAAACAAAGGAAATATCAAATAACAAACTGAATTAGCACTTACTTTCTGTGTCCATTTTACAAAAATGTAACTTATAGAAACAAGTGATTCACAGGATTTAGATTAATTTTCCTTTGTGTTCGACAGCATGTTGTCATGCGACACAAAGCCAAACATAACCAAAATCTAAGCCACGCGTGAAAAATATCAAATCACTACACCAAACACTTCGTAACGGTAAGGAGAACATAAAATGCTTATAATGGATATATGAAATGAAATTGTTAAGACAACAGAAGTTCAAATAATCATCAACTGTTGAAATAAAAAGTAAGCTGTAAAAAAATAATCGTGTTCTACGATTCGTTTAATTCAAATTACATTGAGTCAATGAGTAATTGTATTAGAATACAATGATACGTATTTATTAATTAATAATCTGTTCATAGAACCGATAGCGTATTATGATGCAAGTACTCGCAGGGTGCCCCACAATGGATTAGAGCGGGAAATAATGAGAACGGCCATGCCACCGACAGCAGCATCCCCCGCGTTCTGGGAATAAGAGTTACTCTCCCGTCGGCCATTATCACGAATTACTACGTGTACACGTTCACGTTTTAAGGCTTTGTAACTGGTTAAACGAACATAATAGTGTTTAAGTATTGACAATGCGTCTTTTCTACCGTGCCCCCTTCCTACCCTCGATCTCCTCTAGAATTTAAGAACCTATAATAAAACTGAAATAACGCCATCTAGTATTTAATCCGCGTGATAACTAGAAGCTTGCGATGAAAAAGAAGGGGAAATGTTTGGCGTGTCGTATTCCCCTCAAACGGAACGAATTAATGGACCTCTGTGTACATACAGTTATTGTTGAATCAAGTATTTAATAGTTATCGACAGGGCGAGCTGGAAATTAGGACGATCGAGGACGAGCAAAGTCTTTAGTATTTTGTGATCCAATACATGATCGGGTCATGGCGTATGTTAATGTTGCTGAATGGAAGACTGATCAAGTGTGCGAATGGTTAAAAGGTGCGAAAAATCGAGTTTCTTATCGAGTTAGTGTATCTTTTATTCTATCTAAAGAAACGAGTGACTATTGTTATTTATACATCATTGTAATTTGCCTGTGAAAATGCACTTGCTATATACGCCCGTGCCTCTCTTTTCTCCCCTCTTTCCTTTTAATCAGTCACTTTATTACATGTGAAAAACAGCGTTGATTCGTTTAATCGTACGTTGCAAGTGTGTAATTCACTGATGATGTGTTCGCCTTGAAAAGAAAATGTTGAACCGCGAAAATTTCTTGTAAGTGCAAGTAATCATTTCATTCATTTTTGCAATTACTTGATTTAACGATATTTATCATGAACGTTGTTTACGTGTATTTTTTTTTTATTGTAATTGATACACTCTTTGATGATCTTATTCACTACATTGTACATGATGTAGGAAAGAAAATCTGGACTTACTATTTTGAGAATAAATTATACTATTAATTATGTTAGATACAAGATACCTTAATACTATTAATTATTTTCTATGGTAATAAGATTTCTTGAGCGAATATTATTTTTATAGGATTGGATAATTCTGTACTACCTTATGTACATAGTTTCACAAATCATAGTGTTAGTGGACAACAATTATTGAGTCTAAGACCAGAAGATTTAGAACACCTTGGAGTAATAAAGCTTGGCCATCAGGAGATCATTCTTGAAGCTGTAGAATATTTAAGAAATTTTCATTATGAGCTCGATCGTGAAAATTTGCAACTCCTGGCATTGCGTTTATCTTGTCAAGCGCATAGTTTGCAAAATGAACTGTCCCGTCAGACGGACTCCAAACCTGTTACTACTCAAACATTATCCGATGTAGCATCGGTTATAACAGCTGTGAAGCCATTAGTAAGATGGCTCGATCGTCCTCCATTCAGTGGACAATTAGAATATAATGATAAAAAAGCTGATCTAATGAAACTAGCTTTAGAAATGGCCACATGTGCGCAAAGAGATAGATTTGCAGAGAAACCAATAGAAGAAATCAGAACAATTTGTGGTCAATTAGCAAAACTGGCAGATTATATAATACAGGATATTACTGATCCTATGATATTGCAGCCTGCTAGTTTAGATTTGGCTACTTTAAAAAAGAAACCTGGAGATGACTTAGTAAGTTTTAAAATAATTTTAATTATTTCTCTTAAAATCAAATAATTTCTTTCATGTTGGTTTTAAATAAATCTTTAATGTATTCAATGTATACAGTAAATTTAACATAAACTGTATGATATAGTTTGGAATGAATATAGAAGAAATTATCTGCTACATCCTTTGTAGATAAAACTGCTATCATTGATTCAACACAACTTTAACTTCCTGTTCAGATAATAGTTTAGTAGTATAGAGAGTGAGATATTTAAAACAATGTGCTTGAGTAATTCATTTAATTTTAGCGATTGTCAGTTATATATCACAAAATTGAAAATGTTAAATATTATTTTTTGCAGGGATTTTACATTTTGCCATCTTTCCACGGAGCTCATCAAATTGCTGAAATTAAATTTGGATCAGCTGCTCATCAATGTGGTAAAATGGAAGAAGGAGATGAAATTGTTCAGGTAATTTATCTTTTCTACTTGATATTTACATGTTAATAATTCGAATGAACTTTTCAGGTAAATTATCAGACTGTGGTTGGTTGGGAACGAAAAAATCTTTTGGAATTATTTCGTGAAAGTCCAGCTGAAGTATTATTAACTTTAAAGCGTAGACCAAGGCACACAAAAGTCTATGGTCAGATTTATATAAAACCATATCGACTTCCCAGTAATAAAAAAACATCATACACGACGCGATGGCAACATAATTTACCATCACCAAGACCAGAATTATTGACCATACCAGATTTCACAATGCCATTACCAAGGTATAATATATATATCTTATTCTATAGCAAAATTAAAAAATTGTGTAATATTAAATCTAAATTTGTTTAGGCACATGCCAAAGAATCCGAGTCCGGAACCTGCAAGTATTTTAGATACTGTCAATATATTAGACACAATGATCATAGATAGTAGCGACTCGGATAGCGAAACGGAACCCCCTTTATCAATTCGATTGTATTCGACGAAGCCAAGAAATTCAGTTCAAAGACGAGCTACTATAACTGGTGCTAGTCCTACTACTAAACATAGAATCGATATCGAACAATTTTGGAAAGAATTGAAAGAGGAACATAGTACAACTCAATTACGCGACAAAGCGGCATCTTGCGCTCACGGCCTAGATAATGTACCTTCAAATTTACGATCACAAACGTGCTTAAGTATAGAACAAAGTAAAAGAAAGAAAAAGCCTGACGGGCAAGTTGATGACAAAAAGCTACAGTTCCAAGAGAAATCTGTTAAATCTGATGTTCCTCGGATAGATAATACAATTAACGTAATATACGAAGCAAAAGATGAATGCAAGACTATTCAAAATTGCGAGGAAACTTTAACTATTAGTAATACAAGTAATCCCAGCCAGATTCCTCAAGCATCTATTAATGTTACCAATAATAATAATTTGAGTGATACAAGTGTGCCTTTAGATGAGTGCAACAATTTTATTAGAGATAGGCATAGTAATAGTAAGAATATACTAAGCGGTAAAGAATCTAGTATATGTAATGTTAAAGAACGCGGGAAATTGGATAAAAGTTACAGTACACCGGCATACGATTTAATGGATACTGACAATGTAGAAGACAGGAAACAGAAATTATTTTGTACATTAGAATCATCTACAAATAACGTAAGCAATGTATCTGCAACTAAGACTGATATTCAACTAGTTTCTACAAATTTGGGAGATCAACAAAAGTTACGAAATATTGGTGATAAAAAGCAAAGTACTCGTGCGAGCCTTGATACCAATGTTCAAAACGTTACTGGTATCGACACGCATATTGTGCAGAATAATGACGAACAATACGCTGAAAAATCTCAATACTTGGACTCGCATAAAACATTTACGTGTAAGGCAACCGATGTAAGTCATGGAAGCAGTATAAAAAGTAACCAAAGCAATAACGAATGTATTATCTCTGATGTAAATAAATATGACAAGAAAAATGTAACGAATAATTCAAACGCCGAATTAGAAAGCGTATCAAAGGCGGCGTTTAGCGTTAAAAACTTTACAAGTAATTCAAGTTCAAGCTACGAAGTAAACGAAGATAAAGTAGAATCAAGAAACAATTATGCGCAGAACAATAGCGAAAGCAATCCGGGTCTGACTAAATTCGGTAAAATTTTCCAAACGTTTAATTGTGCCTCGATAGAACATACAAAATTAATGGAAAAAAAATCTCCCGCTGCATCGATCAAAGAAACAATACAAATTCAGGAGCCAGCATGGTCAAATTGTGATTTGATTTCTACCGAAGATGATACACGGACTGTTACTCGGAGCATTCCTCAAATTCAGATTTGTCAAAAAGCGCAAACTGATAACATAAAAACTGAAGGTTCAATTGATCAAGGAAATATGATACAGCCTTGCAAATACGTAGAGCAAACGAAAATTGAATCTAATAAGAAGCTAGAATCTAAATCTCATTTAATACCTCCAGATCCTCCTCCACGTAAATATTATTCGAAATTAACGAGTTCACCTTTGGACAACGCTTCGAAAGTTTTTGAAGATCAAGATAAACATTATGCATCTCAAAGACCTAATGTTAGAAGAGATTTGAAAAAACCAGAATATTGCATGGAGAATTACATAAAAAGTAACTTGAATCTTCAAGAGAAACAAGATTATTTCGATGTTTGTAATAGCTTTACAGAAAAACCAACAGAATTTATTGACGAAATAAATACTTTAGGTAACGAATGCAGACCTAGTTTAAACGTGGATTCTTTGTACAGAGAGTACACTGATAAGCAAGTGAAAGAAGACAAGTCTATCTGTGATAAGTACGAACCTTTTGCTGAAAAGTTCGGTCACGCTAGTTCAGGAACAGAATGCCATAATCCTGAATCTTGTTTTCAAAATATGGATTCTCCGGATGGTTCATGCTCTTCAAAGCAGTTTCAATCCCTGGAACATAAATCGAAAGTTTATGAAAAGGAGAAAAATTTGGAAAAGGGAGTAGTTAATAAGGCTATGATGGTAGCCAGAAGTATTGGGCTGCATGGAAGCTTAAGCAAATCTTCCAGTAGTAGTCCCAGAAGTAGCAGAAAACGAAGCATATTATTTGCAAGTAAGAAATTAATATAAAAACCATTTATCGATTCATAATGAAAATTTTAATTAAATTAAACTCTTTGAATTTAATAATATTCATTGTTGTGCTTCTTCTTTATTAGGAAAAAGGAATATTTCTGTTAAAGATATAGGTACAGGCGATTTAGAAAGTTGGTTAACATATCGTACAAGAGGTGCAGGTGGTGCTTGGGCTAAAGCTTGGTTTATTTTGAAATGTTCCTCTTTATACAGGTTTGTTGATTAAATTTTGGCATTCTATTTTATATTATTACAAATATATATATATTTGATTGTGTTTATAAATATAGGTTTAAAACTCAAACCAGCATGAAGGCAGATTGTCTCATAGCTTTAACAGGATTTACCGTGTCACGAGCTGCTGAAGTAAAATCGAGAAAATATGCGTTCAAGGTTTATCATACAGGAACAGTATTTTATTTCTCGGCGGATACAGAGGATTCTCTTACTCTGTGGCTAGATGCAATCAATAAAGCAACTTTAGGCGCGGATGGTCACAGTCGAAATAGCGCTCTTTTTAGCGAAACGGACGAGAGCGATGGCGAACAAAAAACTAAACTTAAGAACGCTTATACCGCAGAATATAAACCAAATCTGGAGAAATCGTTTGGATCGTTAAAGAAAATTGTTCGCAAAGATTCTACCGGATATAAAGATCATGAAATTAGTGGTGCCAGTTTAGACAGAAAATACTTGAAATTTCTTGGTACACGAAATCACAATGTACCTGTTCCAACTGCACAATTTCGAAGTTACAGAAGAGTACTTCCCACAACAATACCCAACAAGTAAATCTATTTAATAAAAAATATTTTGCTTAAAATAAAGTTATAATGTTAATTCTCCTTTTCAGGAAGCAAGACTCTGTCCCAAATTCACCAGACTTACAAATGACAATCGCGGGAAGTACATTCTATGGATTATGTGCATCTCAGAGTACTACTGATATGTCAAATAGTTCTCAAGATATGGGTGATTACAGACGTACAACAGACAGGTAATAATCCATATTGCATGTTGTAAAATTAACGCCATTCTTGTTGCTTTGTATATTTCGTATTTAATTTAAAAAAATTTTGTTAAATTTGAGATACAGTCATACTATTTCCTTTATAATGGTAACATATTTTTAATTTCAAAAAATCATTTAAAAAAAACTGATAAGTATTATTATACTTCTCATTGCATAATAAAATAACTTACACTAAATATCGATTAAATTTATTTTATATGTTTATATCTTGTGCATGTCTTTCCTTATTTTAATTATTTTCCTGTTCTCTATCCTTGATTGGTTTGTAAATAATATTTACTATCGAATTTATCATTATTGGTTTTTTAATGGAACATTGGTTTTTTTATCTTATTGTGTATAGAAACTAGTGAAACAATATTTTAATATAGGTGTCTTAATAGCAGAATTAGAAGGCCCGATGAACTACAAGGTTTTATTACATTAGAAGAATTTATGTTATCTCAACAAGAAGATCGCGGACAAATAACAAGAAATAGGTCTGTATCACCAAGGATGACACCTTTAACTAGCGATCATGTCCTCGTTCAACATAGAAATTTTCATGATAACGGGACAGTTAATGAACAAACCAAAATTGCTACCGAAACATACACCAATAATGACGTTATGCATGGTCGAAATAAAAATAACGGGGAAGTAATAAATAATAGCGCATCGTATGGATACGCGCGACACATGGATAACTTGCATACAACGAGACAATTAAGCGGAGATTTCGATTTCGAAAGAAATGAAAATAAGGGCGAATCGTCAAAGCTTTCAATTCACAAAAGGTCGAATGAACTTAGTTGCGTTCATAAGAAAAATGCATTGGATGGATTAAGTTCTCCACAAGCAAAACCATGCGATTCGATTAATTTCAAGAATGTTACGCATGAACAAAAGCAACCAACTTCCTCGTATCATAATAAATCAGATACTGCTGAGAAGTTTGATAAACAAACAAGTACAGTTTGCGAATATAATACCAATGCTTGTACACATCAAGCACAATCTTCGAATCATGAAATCTCTAGATCATACGATTATTATTCAGGGAGGAATATCGGTAATTTAGTGGAAGATATTAAATCAGTTCCAAAACGACTGATACGCAACGATGGTAATTTTTATATTAAAACGTTATGTCTATAAAATATACAAAAGGCTTAAATTGTTTTAACTTTTTAGGTTGTTCCGGATCTAGCAATGATCTTACATATCATGCTTCTTATGAAACTCTACAACGCGCAAAAAAAGATGCGAACATAAGTCGTAAAGGAAGTTTCAACTTAACAGGCCGTCGTGATCATACTTCGTCGGATAAGCATTGGTTAGATTCTTTACGACGAAGCGATAAAAAGGATATCGATTACGATAAAACTCGTCTAAAAAATGTAGCACAGTACCAACCACCGCCTATACCAACTTCACCATTTGAACAAGAGGGAATGACAGCTGCATTTGAGATGCATTTAGACAAAGGTGAACAGGTTCAAAAGCCAAGTCGCTTGAGAAATTTATTTGGCAATAAAAGTCAACAAAAACCTTGCACGCTCGATCTGCCTAAGGAAACGCAAAAAACATTGCTAGGTAAAAAAAATTTTTTCATTTTATATTACAGTTTGTATTTTCTAATAATTTTGTTCGCATTATTTTCACAGGATCGCCAAGATTACATAGAGCATTGTTTCGAGAGAAATGTTATAACCAGTCACGCTTACCAAGCCGATCAAATAGCCAAAGTCCTGGTGATAGTGGAATCAGTCAATCCGTTAGTTCCTTCAGTGGAAATAGTCCACAAACGCTTAGTCAAAGTTTTAGTTCGGTTAGCTCCGTTAGTGATTGGAGTCCAGATACACCATCACCATGTACCCCAAACCTGACAACAAAAGTATGTATCTGAGTGATATAGAAGTTTTAAAATATTGTATCAAACGTTTACTACAGCATGGCAACTTTATTTGTAGAGTGGTGCAGGTCATTCCTTATGTCAGAAAGGATTTACCAACACAGGTAGACATTCGTTAAACCCGCCAACATTACCCTACATACCACCACCGACATCACCACCACCTGATTACCCCGGTCTTGAATATCCACCAGTATTTGAACCTGGTACTTACTCTCTATTGGATGCTTCATTACTGCGTAATCGTAATAAAAATAATCGTGACACTCATTAACCAATGACGCGTGTCATTGATCTACATATAATAGCCAAAGATAATTTCTTTCATTATTCATTAATCTAACCAGGTATTTTATATGAGAAATCTAAGAGTTTACTAGTATTTTTCTATAAGTATTCAAATTTAACCGTCCATTTTAGAACCATTTGACTGTTATCAAAATCTTTTTGTATAAATTAAAATTGTAAACTATCCACTCAGAATGATATGATTGATATGTAACATATGTTAGCTGAGTGGACGACTGAAATCAATATCATATCATTGCCTTTGTAAGTATACTACAAACACCATTTGTATCTAATTTGAAAGGAGTTCCATTTTGTTATTATCATTACATGTAATTATTGTTACTATAAATGACTAAATTGAAGACATTTTATTGTATTTTTGAAAATATTTCTAGAAAGTATTATGTAAATTAAACAATTTATTGTATATGAATTATGTAATCCTATATTAATCAGTTAAGGACGTACGTTTACATATAGAATGTTATAAGTCTATTCTCTTTTTACATAAAAGGCTACCAGAAGACTATAATAATATATTACTTGAAGAAAAAGATTATAAAAAGTTAAAATATATTAGACCAGCTAGAAGGCATAACCTATTTACGATATCAGGTTAAAAATTTATTCATGTATCTAAGAGTACCTTCAAACACTTATTTCTATTTTAATCCTAACATGGAAATTAGCTAATAAATAATTTCAAATACAGAAAATGGAAGTGCTCTTGATAATTAGTAAAAGGGTGTTGCATAATAAATTTTTTCAAGTATTTTTAATACATATCATACTTACACATACATTTATACATGATGCAATTACGTGTAAAGTGCCTACATATGTTTTTTTATATAATTTTTGTATATAATTACGTTTATATATTAACAATCAACATAATTTGAAGCGCATGATTTTTATTCTAATTTATGCTCAAGAAATTTTTTAGAAGTATTATAAAACTAAATAGCATTGAAATTATCAATTGTGTATTTTCTGTACTTTTATAGCAGTTTGTAATTATTATATATGTTATAAAATGTTTAATTTATTAAAACGAACGTTTGCAACTTAGTAATCAGATGATATTAAATGAGTTGTTCAAACATAACATTAAACAAAGTACTTTACTGAATTTCATTACATTTAATATACATATCATCTTTATTGTAACGTTATTAATTATTGTTTTAATGTATTTATCGTAACGTTTTGAGAAGCGATCAGCGGCAGCAATGGATTGGACCGTATTCAAGATTGCCGGCATAACTTTGTAACTAAATTTTGAATTTTCAAATACTTTATAGATATTCGAATACATACCATGAATAAACTTTCAATATTACTATTCCGTTGATTGAACATAACACTGATCCTCTAAAGCGGAGAAAATTAAACATACAATTTCCTTTCGTAAGAAAATCATTTCAATATTCTTACTACATACTTATTCACTGAAGGAGTCTTTTCTACAACTCGAAATCTAGTGACAATCGAAACATTTAATAAAATTAGTTTCTGTTTAAATATTAGAACATAACAAAAATTTGCTTTCTTCGCTAAAGAGATTTAGGATCAATGAGAATCTGTTGTTGTCACGTGATTTTATTTAAACGGTTAAATTAAACCGACTCGTTTGTTTCGCTGAATAACGTATAGTACGATTCAGTTGGTAAGAAATAGTTTCTACTTAAATTTTAATAATTGTGATCATTAACGTCGTAAACTAGATATTGTTTAAATATTTACGTATATAGTATAGAAGTACGATAAAGGATTAAATTGATATTAAATAATTATGAAGTGAATTAATATATATCGGTAATTTTCTAACCTTTCGATAATTTCAATCGTAGACATCATAGTCACAGACATTGTAAATAAAGACGTACAAAGGATTTCGATAAAAATATGGCAGATCCAGTCGATTATATTGATTTAACGGTAGATTCGCCAGGAAATAAATTCTTACTAAAATCACGAACGAGAAATACTGAAAATGTATCTGTCAATATTGCAGTAACAAAAAGGCGACGAAAGCGTAATTTATCTAACCAACCAGAACTACAGCTTCACGATTCTGTCATGTGCGTATTACTTTGCTATTTGTATAAAATTATTTTATCAATCTTAAACAAATTTACGTAAAACTAATAGATTAAATTTTATAGAGAAATACCAGTTGAAGATACATCCACATCAAAGCAACCTATAAACACGGATCAAATTAATTCACCAAAGTATGGAATTTATTGTGGCAATGACTATACTCCAGAAAGTTTAATTCCACTATTATGCCCAATATGTTATGAATATTATTCTTCTAAAATAAGGCCCATATCTACTCGTTGCGGGCATGTATTTTGTACACAATGTTTAGAACAAGCATTACGTAATTTAAAAAAATGTCCAACATGTAAAACAGCTGTTAAATTCAACCAGTGTACCCGTTTACATTTATAATTTATATATTTTTTACTTATTATATGTACAACATTTCAACATTGTGACTTTGCTCTCTTTTTCTCTTTCTTTTTGTATATACAACAATATTATTACAACACAATTTCATTTTACACCATATACATAAGTTATAAATTACTATAAATCATTGTAATAGTCAAAAAGTAAAAGTAATATTTTTATGCTGAATAATATGTATCATGTTGTGCAAAGTTTACTATTTTAAATGAACATGACTTTTATGATAAATTGTCACATTTTGAAATACTTATTATATTCCTTTATTTAAACTTATTTTAATATACTCTGTTTCAAAGCATGATCAATGTTTACATTTTTATTTCTACCTTGTAGCAGTGTCCTCCCCAATGTGTTTCACCTAACGGAAAATAATTTAGTGTTTTGTGTCTAAAAGAGACAAATTTTCACATTAATATAATCATATGCTTTAAGTAAATTTTTATTTCATATAATTAAAATTAAAAAATGTTTAAAAAGAAGGAAAATAAGGTGACATATTTTTTTGGTGGCACTGCAATAGGAATTTGAAAAATTAATTTCAAATACATCAACAGTAGAAATTCAAAGTATTGGTAAGTTTCTTTTATGATTTTGTAGCAAATGAGAAAAGGTATATACACACACACCTAACCTGGCGTAATATGTGATTCGCATGATAGGATATGTCGGCTTTTCCCACCATTCCGTTAAACGCTAAAGAAATTTGTCGTTACTAGTGACGCCGTCGATGCACTCAATTATGACAAATCTGGCCACACTGTTCTGGCCTGCGCAGTTTGGTGACATTGGCTGTTGGATACCCTGGTTATAGAAGTTTCTTCAAAGCGTTTGTTTTGATGTGCTTGTCGGTGTTTGAATAAACGCGATATTGATACAAAAAAATGGTATATTTAGAAGTTATTATATAAAAAAACAAGTTATTAAAATATCATTAATTCTACATCTCAAAAGCATAATGTTTTATATTTTAGTTACCTTTATCGTTATTAAGAACAGCACAAAATCATCCTATGGTACGTATTGAAATGTTAAAAAAAAGGATATATCTTACATTTCATTTAATAGGTACATATTAATTGAATAATTTAATGCAATATTTCATAGCTTGTCGAGCTCAAAAATGGCGAAACGTACAATGGACATTTAGTTAGCTGTGATAGTTGGATGAATATAAATCTTAGAGAGGTTATATGCACGTCCAGGGTATAGTAATAACATTTTAAAATTAACGTTTTATTTATCGGTATAAATAACTTTTACTTACATTATTAATGTGCCATTTAGGATGGCGATAAATTTTGGAGAATGCCAGAATGTTACATTCGAGGTAGTACAATTAAATATTTAAGAATACCTGACGAAGTTATAGACATGGTAAAGGAAGATGTGCAAATGAAATCAAGGGGCCGAGGTGAAATGAAAGGAAGAGGACAAGGCCAAAGGGGACGCGGTAGTGGAAGAGGTACGACAGCATGATTATATGTTTGCCTATTCTTAAATGAAAATAAATATCTGTATTATCTTCTACAGGTACCTTTGGTCGTGGAGGAAGAGGTCCTGCGCCTCTTGGTCGTGGCGGTGCTAACCAGGGGTTTCTATATCCACAAAATTGGATATAGAACAAATTTCAAAATAAACCAAGGATCGAATAAAATTATATTTGCGTTAACATTTTAGTCCAATACAATTGTTTCTTGATCTTTTTTTATATCTTACTTTTTAAGGTTTTCACTTATAGTTTTAAGACAGAAATTTGAAAAATAATGTAAAATATAACAATACTTATTGCGTACTACAATGTTATTTTTTCAACTTAACAATTTAGTATTATAGTTATGTGATTATATACTGTTTGTCCGCGAAAAGTTCTAGTTCACAGTCCTCGACCAATAACGATAACGCATGCAATGAAAGTGAACCTAACCTTATTGCAGATGAGCTGCATAAATGTACCATAGAGAGATGACTTGTTGGCTAGGCACCGACAAATTGAACAGCACAAGGTCAAGGAGAGTAGGTTTTCGCGTCGCTTAATTCCCACGAGAAAACACTGGAGATATATCTTTGTTCTATTCATTAGTATTCTGAGCGAACGATTACGCCATGTCGTTCACGTCTATCGTCACGCGATTGTGTTGCGAGCGACTCAGCCAATGACAATGCGTGTAAGAACAGGCGTCGTTACTACGCTACGGCCAATCGGCGTGCCTAGTTAAAACTCGTCTCTCTTATGATATTACGATGAGTAAGTAGAGACTACGTGAAAATTAAAGCATATACCTACTGCGAGCGATCGATTACAATGAAATAAAAATTTAAAAAATAATAAACAATTATAAAAAAGAGAAATATTTATTGCATTTACACGAAACAGAGGACATAGAATGTACTCTCTTAAATTTATTATACAAAATTCTTACTCGCTAATCGTGGAATAAAATTTAAATAGTACTATACAGTGATAACATGAATTATTTATTGTAGCTTTAAGAGAATAATAATTCGGCTATTATAATTCTAGTGCATTAATTATTCTCAAAGTTTGATGGATGAATGAAAAAGAAATTGTAAATAGATACAAAATATGACTATGCTCTCAACGTAGGTGCACAATAAGTGTTATTGTATGGTGATTCGATTTCCATGAACTGCAATCAATAGAATATGTACATATTAAAGAGGCTACAAAAGAATTTGCAAATTAATAATATTTACCTTAATCTAATTTCCAAGTTTATATTTTGGAAATGGATTTCTATTTATCGTCCTTCAACTATAATGAAAAAAAAATTAATTAATTGATAAGAAATTTTTTTTAAAAATAATACGCATAGTAAAACTTACTGTATGAAGCCAAATCTATTTCATCTGGTAATTCTGTAATATTAACATCAAATCTTTCCTGGACATCATTCAGTATTTTGGCATCACTTTCGTCACTTACTAATGTAATTGCAAGACCCTGCAAATATTAAAATATTGATAAATTAACTCTTTTATTACTAAAGATGGCGCCATAAAAATCATTTTGAAATACTTTTAAGATATTGATCATAAAATACGTGAAATTGACTAACCTTAGTACCGAAACGGCCAGCCCTGGCTACTCGATGGAGGTACGTATCAGAATCTTCTGGCATATCGTAATTAAATACTATGTTTACACGTTCAATATCCATGCCACGGCCAAACAAATTTGTAGCTACAAGTATACGCTAAAAATAATACATTATTATTTGTACATGATTAATTTAATATGTCCAATAAAACAAAACCTTTGACTTTATTACCTTTTGAAAATCTTTGAATTGTTGATATCTTGATAATCGTTCTTCTTGGGTCATGCCTCTATGTATCCCGATAGCAGGGAAATTTTGTTCGGTTAGAAGTTGTGCCAAAGCCATACACCTTTGTACAGATTTCACGAAGATAACAACCTATAATAATAATAATAATAATGATGCGAGACGAACAAAAATTACGATGATTTAAATATAAGAATTTTTCAATAAGTGGTATAAATAATTTGACCGATCCCTATAATGGACAAACCTGGTTGAATTCAAGAACATCAAGTAATTCAAATAGCTTCTTATTCTTTTCATTCTCCTTAAGTTTGACATAATGCTGTTGTAGACCATGCAATGTGAGTTTCGCTTCATCATCCACATAGACTTCCATGGGCTACGCAAAGAATGTTTTTTACAAGATTACCTAATTTACCCTAACAATTATCACACCTTGATAATTTTTAGACTCTAATACTTTTTGTGTTTTAATATGTTAAAATTAAAATTTCAATCGTTACTGAAGTTGAAAATAAAGAAAAAAATTAATAAGTGCAATTCATTGTTGGACCAAATGAAATAATTAAAAAAAGAAAAAAAGAAAAGAAACAAAAAAATATATATTTTTGAGACATGAAATAATAAACGATAAATTAAAGAATAGAACAAATGATGCGAAGATGCAGAGTATTTTATGCATGTCCCAATTTCTCCCGCTTCCTTGATGACAATATCATGTCAATTACTATAAAAGAAAATTGTATTATACGATTTGGAAAACTTTTTGTACGACGTCTCATTTTTGCAATTATTTGTCGATCGGATTAGTCATACTGGTTACATACGGTCCGGCGACTTCCATCTCTGGGTAGTGCCAACAACGAAAACTCAGCTGTCACCCCAACAGAACTAAGATGGCGCACCCATGAATGTTCTCTTTCACACATCCGCTGGCCACTCGATGCCAAACCTCTTCTCCCGAATTCTGGTACATTCAGAACGTGCCCAGAATTGGTCTCGAATATTCTTGGTATGCTCGTATATCACAAAATTTTACGGCCTCTGAGATTTTCTAACATCGCGACTTAATTAGCTCATGATTCGTGATACACAAACTGATTTATGCTTTGTTTTCACATACAGATTGACACGTTTTAATTATGTATAACACTTCCATTGTTGTCCAATTTTCACTCCTACTAATAGATTACCAACCTCCACTAGCCTTTTGCAAAATATCAAAATGTGTTGTTTCAATTACAATTACACGAACGCGAATAAATTAGACATTATGCTACGTAATTGCAACAATACTGTCAAAACTGCTCAATCTCCTAGCTAACCCCAGTTTCCCATATATCCTCTTGCATCTTCTTTCTTGCGCTCTTCTGTCTTCAGGTTGTCTTGAGGTCTTCTTAGCCCCCCACCCAAATGAAAAATGTTTCCAATGCTGCCCTAACTCGTTTAAAAATCTACCCCTCCCTTTACACCTGCCTCGATCATTACCCGTACAATGTACAAATTTTGTTCCACCCGTCCCATCCCGACAGACAATGTTTCCAAACATTTGCGTAATGTTGAATGTAATCATTTTTAACAGTCAATTTCAATATGCGGCCGACAATTAAAGTACTTTTAACATTGAAGACCGGAACTAAATGAAATTTTTTTAAAGCATCGCCGTCATCTTGATTAATTCGAGTACCGACATTAAACGAAGGTTTTCATTCCCTTTATGAGCAGATATCGCCATCCGATAAATGGACGGACACTTTGGAGCAGTAGCTCTTTACATTCAATTTGTGGAATTTGATATTCAATCAAAATCCAAAGACATTGAGGGACTTTTCGTTATTGAATTCTGTATCACTTCTTCAAAGTGTTGTCTAACTAGCCTAACCCGCGGGTGCGCCGTCAACAATATTTATAGTATGGTCTGAGCTTTGTCCTGGGTATGAATACAGGGCCAACGAAGTAGGAGCAATCGAAGATCGAAGTGAAGAGGAAGATTGGTTAATTACATCTTGCATAAATTTTTTGCAGACAGGACGTATCTCCTTGGATAACGTAGCGCTGAACATCATGACTTGCTTGCCGTGTGGAGTGTTTCTAAATATTTCCTGCACATCCCTACGCATGTCTGGAAACAAATGTTTGAAAATAGAATTCGCGTTCAAGAAAATTCATAAACATATAAGTACTTGTATTTATAGCTACCTAGTAATTCAAGCATTTTATCGCACTCGTCGAGTATAAAATGTTTCAGGTGCTTCAGGTTTAATTTTTTATTCCGTACAAGAGCAAGAATACGACCAGGCGTGCCCACAACGATATGAGGACATGTGTTTTTCAGAACTTCTTCATCTTTCTGAATTGGCAAGCCACCGAAAAAGACTCCAACCTAGAATTTCAATACACAATTTATTATTAAATAAAAAGCATCATTTTTACGTAAATTTAAATTAATTATTAATACAAGAATCTTCGTCAGAGGTGGGGTTAGTGGTAATAACGAAAGTCATCATACTTGGCTATGACAAAATGTATCATCATTTGAAGATTCTCTAACGCTAATTTCATTAAAATACATCAAAATAAATAAAGCTTACCTTCACATGAGGCATGTACTTGCTAAATCTTTCATATTCTTTACTAATTTGAAAAGCAAGTTCTCGCGTGTGACACATGACAAGAACGTAAACTTGGTTTTCCGTTAATTCTAATTGTTGTAGAGTCGCTAACACAAATACAGCTGTTTTCCCCATACCAGACTTTGCTTGACATAATATATCCATGCCAAGCACTGCTTGAGGAATACATTCATGTTGTACTGTAAATAATATTTATAGAAAATTAGGTACACGCTCGATATATGGATCAAATATTCAACAATAACGAAGACTCAGCACATTGATACATATCATTCATAATAGAATCTGTTGTCCCTATCTAATATCATCATTTTATACATAAAAATATGTAATTACTCGATTTAGCAGACCAATTAGAGCAGTGATTACCAAACTCTTTGAACAGTGTCACTCTTCTTTGTTTCTTACCAAAAAAACTGTATACAATAAATACTTCATTTAACGCGATTAAACATTTTTTCAATTAAATCAAGAATTCATTAAAATAAGGTCTGTTAAATTGAGATTTTACTGTATTTTGTACTTGTATTATAAAGATAAGTACCTTCAGATGGATGCTCAAAACCACAGTCAACAATTGCACGTAATATTTCAGGTTTTAAAAGAAAATCTCTAAACCCACTACTGTGGATAGATACATATGTGCCTTTGACTTCTTTTTTGGAAGGTATATCTCCACTACCGTCAACTACTTGCTCAGTCTGTTCCTCATCTTCATAATCCAAAAGATCATCATTATCCGCCATGTTTATATGTATATATGTATTAAATTATTGCTGAAATTAAAAAATATAACATTACACATACAAAGAGAAATAATAATTCATACTTATAAGAACATTTATACAATTGTACCAAGCATCCATTCATGTTAAAACAGTAAAGTAATTTCTTTAAAATCATTGAATTATATCTCAGTTTTCTATTTCTCATATATTACCCACCCCATAATGTTAAAATAATATTCTATATTATTAAGAAATAATGTACATTTCTGTACATGTTTCTGCATACAACAAAAATTTATGTAGTTATTAATCAGGTAATTCTACAATGAAAACCTTTTCAATTCTTATTCAATTAAAATAAAAAAAATAATTTATATTCCAGAAGTACAATAATTTGTTAAAATATTTCAACATAAAACATTCGCACGAACAATAATTATTCTTATAGTGCATTTGTTATACATGGATACAAAAACCTCTTAAATGTCCTAAAATAAAATAAAATGTATGTATTTCGACGCGCTTGCCTACAACGATAACAATTTTTGTAGAAACTGTACACGTAACGTAACCGCCATTTTAGTAACGATGCTTAACGCTCGTCGATGGAAAGTGAACACTACGATATAATTTTAACTCCCATTTTCTACTACATGTTTCATCTATAATTATGTAACAAATATGTACATATAGATGCGTGTTCAATTATAATTCGTACAATAAATAAATGTTATATCTCTACCTGTAACACGTTTCAATAGATATCGCGCAAGACGAATATTTATGTATGGTATGATTTTCGCAACGTATCATAATTATTAACAAAACTAATAAGTGCTACCGAAACTTTAGAATATTTTTAATTTAATCAAATACATATTTCAAACAGATTGATATTCAACAGACAATTAAAAGTGGATTGCAAATGGACAAACTTACCTCTGAACAGATCTCCAACAAACTGACGCTCACTGCCACTGTAAACGGAACAATCGTAGGCCCCCTGCAACTATTTCCGGAAGACTAGTGGTGCCAACTACAAACTGATATTCTGAAAGAGCACATAATATACGTAGGTTTATATTAAAGTTATTACGAAAAATATACATATTTTCCTAATATGTAGGTAAACTAATTGTACATATTCGTTTACATATTGAAAAATCAAAATGCTAGTGTTATATAAATACATTAACAAGCCATACCTACTACTTGAGAATTCCCCATGTTTGCACAAGAAAAACCGGATGTAATAATTAAAATATTAACATCCTTGTTATAAACTGAAATCAATATCAAATTAATAGCTTTTATTTATCAACTACTTCAGTGAAAATTTAAATAAAACTTTTCATTGGTTATTGAAATATTTATTAAGAATGTTTTTGTCAAGGAAACGAATAAAGTTTAAAATTTTCGATCACTCACGTGGTCATCGTTAGAAACATCAAAACATGAATATATTTTCTTATATTTAAAAAACAATGACTATGTATTATAAATAGTACAGTTCAGAAGCAAATATCAACTCTCCAATATGTACTATTTTCAATTGTGGTATTTATACATTATCTTTTAGATGCAACGAAATAGACACTTAGTCTATTGACTATTATATTAATTAAAATATACATAGTTTATAATCTTTCTCGATAAAAGTTATTTTTAATTTCTGATCTTGAAGAGCAACTTAATGAAATTTGTTAAAAAATAATAATACTAAATGTTATAATGATATTGTTTACCTGGGCATTGCAACTACTGTTACTGTAAAATGAATGTTTATTAGAAAAATGAACGGTATTGTTTAAATATGGTAAAGTTTATTTAATAACATCACAGATACAATAATTATGTACACAAATGTCTGAGAAAATGTTAACCCAATGGCTAGACATTTTCAGCTATCCCATTGTCAATGTAAGCACTGAAGTACTAAGTTTCAGATAAAGGTGCTCCATAAGGGCGGACATTTGACAGTTTCGAAATAGAAACTTCGATTTTCAAAATCGTATTTGTAGTCTAGAATTACGGCTCATTCTAGACATACGTTTATGCCTGCATTACATTTTTGCTAATCATTAATACACAATTAGCAGCCGTCAATATTACCCCGACTGTATTACAAGTTGTCTTCCGACGAGGACAATTTATCAAATACGTAAAGTTTCAATTGAGCGTCGTGCCTCTGTGGAGGCGCGGTAGAATCTGGTTTTACCATCTGCGAGGCACATGGAGGATCTATGTTACGGGGTAATAAGGTATGATTGAGCTCGGGCATCGAGGCAGTTGGATCCTTCAGAGGTAACGTTACTTCTCTCAAAGAATCTGTAGGTGAGGGAGGAAGCACCACTTTCTCAGGAGCATTTTGAATAAATATTACTCTAAAAAATATTATTAATAAATATAACAAATGAAATATAACATTTACGATTGATATATAATTTGAAATAATTAAGATACTTAACTAGAAAATAGAATAATTACTAAAAATACAAATTACCTGTTAAATGCTCGCCATTTTCTGCATAGTGTAATGTATGCTTTGCACTGGATGTACATAAAAACTAAGCCTCCTGTAGAGCCAATTACAACAACTATTAGCTTAGTCCAGAAAGACCAGTCCACGTATCCACGTCTCGCTTCTTCCACAGATCGTTCTACAAGTACATATAAAGACCAAGCCACACAAAGTGCAGCTACTGCATGGAAAGCAACCGCGCACCATAGTTTACGAACGTCTAGCGCTGACATTTCAAGTTTTTCCCACTGTAAATTATCAATTATTGTCTTTTATTTACCATAATGAATTGAAAAATAGTCATTTATAGTTTCGTTTCTAACACAATAAATAATACATTTATAAGTGCAAAGGATCAATACCTCGCAAAATGGTTTTGTTTTGGCATGCATAATAAATGTGAATTTACATAATTCACAAGCACGTGTGTCTGAAGCTTTTATCCATTGCTGAAGGCAAGCCTGATGTACATAGCGTAAACTGCCACTGCAATAACAGGGTGCGAAAAGAGGAGCACCTTCTTCACCTTCACAATGGCATATTCTATGATAAAAGAAGAAAATATATTTATTTACATATAAAATGCATAATATGTTTTGGAATATTCCAATACATTTATTAACTATTATTTTATTTCTCATAGCATGTACCTTATGCCAACACACAATTTCTTAAAGATGATGTTAAAGGTGATTTTGTACTTACCTGCAAATATCATGATTGCTTGAAGACAATGTGCTCACAGATGAGTGACAATGATCCGGTATAATCGTAACTACTGTTGCATATGTTGATTCCTACAAAATAAATCTTATGTTATATATTTTTCCCTTAAATATATTAGTATTAAAATCTCTTCCAGTAAGGAAAAATATTATTAAAACTTTAATAAGGGGTAAAAACAATAGCTACACATGATAGTATATACCATAAGTTAAAGGTAATTGAAAGGTCAGAATATATTATTCTAAATAATATTTATATTTGAACAGAGAAGGATAAGCAGAAAAAAAATAATGTTTAATTGTATAATAGGAAAATATATGAAACAAGTTTACCCTTGGTGTCCATTCTGGTAAACCTTCACCAGTAGCAGGGCTATTGTTATTGGAAGGACCAAGAGACAGAGGTGGTTGCCAGTCAGGCGGATTAACATTGATCTGATGAACCGGCATCACTCTCTGACCTCAGCAAAGATGTGATCAGTGATAAAGAACATTAACGAAACACATCCTGATGAGTGTTTGGTAATTTTTTTTCGTTGGTATCATGTTTAAGCACATATCAATAGTCAATCATATGAAGAACTTATTTGCCATAATATTCAATGTTTAATTTCACTGTGTATCTAATAACCTGAAATTATATTGTAATTTACAAATTGCTGTTTAAATTTAAAATATAATAATAATTAATTTTACTAGTAATATTAATAAAACTCTATTCTGATTGATTAATTGATAACTAAAAAAAAACTAGACAGATATTTATATAAAGATTAAAAAACGATGATTATTCCAAAGAACATAAACATTTATCAACATGAATTATTCCTATCCATAAATACTAAAATTTATAGTGCAAGACATTAAATAAATTTACTATTAATACCAACTAATAAATCAAATTCTATGGTGCTAAATGATGATTATTAAACAATTCGAACAAGTTGAATAGTGAATTTTAGTCTTGTCATTTAAATTTATGAAGTTTAGAGAAACACTGAAGAAACATAATATATAAAAGCTATTGACAATGATGGAATGCGTTGTACAATATATATTTTATTAAAATCACTACGTAAACGTAACACTTGGTATGAGAAATATTCAACAAAAAGAAAACAAAAGCATTGGCGTCACATACATCTTTTCGTTTCCGTATAAAATTACAGTAGAAGCAATAACAGTTTTCTGCTTAGTAACGATGATTGGCTAAGAAATATATGGTTTAAATAGTCTAATTTTGAATGATTGAGCAAAGTTTAGTAAACAAATCTCCAGTATTTGTCTTAATGTAATTTTGCTAAACACAAGTCAAGTCAAGCTTGAACGATTTTGACACTTTGTCTCGAGTCAATGACACAATATAGGAGAACTCGTATTCACTGCGATAAATTAATTAACTTGCACAATTTGATGTTCAAATTATTTTCAAATGGCTTCTGGTTTATCACCGTTCACGTTTTAAACACGCGCTATTAACCACATTAGTATTCAAAATTATTACGAATACAGACTTCATTGCGGAACACAGTCCTTTCTCCATAACAGACTGTGTATCTCATTTCTCTGATACGCCTCCATAACGCAGAATGTAGGCGTGGCGTGTGCATAGATTCAACCAATCCGCTGTTAGAAAATGACATTGAATACAGACCTGGTAAAATTTGAAATAGAACCTATGTAAAGTTAGAACTGGTACTATTACAATGTTTTACAGGAATTCGAATACTCCGAATATGCGAATACTTGTACATAATTCGAATATTAGTAGTGAAATACAATTACTTGAATATTATTATTTAAAGAAGAAAGCATTCATATATTTTCGTTACTTAAATAACATGCATTACTAATGTATTTACATATTACATTTTGCCATTAACTGATACGGAAAATTTATACAACATTAAACAACTTGATGTCTAATCTATATGACGCTATTCAGATACCTTTAATTATTGCACAAAATATTTAAATACATAGAAAAATAAAAAGTTAACATAAAAGAATATGGCGTCACCTCCCGTGCTCGCCACCAGAGGGGTCGCGCTCTCACAAGTGCTCGACTAACCCTCCGTTGCTATACATGTACTCCTCGATCGACTTCCTAATATTTAGTCGTCTAAAGCAGGATCTGTTTGAAAGCCTTTTACTGATGATTTCACTAACAAACCCGGACGAAGCTGAGCTCACGTTGTAAAACATGGCTTGTACGGTAGGATATGTGTCGGCTTTTTCGCTATACCATATTCCGGTTAGACGCTAAGAAAGTTCGTCGTTACTAGTGTCGCCGTCGATGCACTTCAATTATGCCAAATCTAACCACACCGGGCCCAGAACCCAGAGTAAACTGTTCTTCTACTTACGCATAAATTATTATATCAAACTATTTTTTAATATCTTCATTTAATTACGGAAATAAAATTTGAATGAATAATTGTCTACAAATGTAATTGTTATATTTAATCATATTTAGGTATGTACATATATGAAACTTATCAACATGCTTTTGTCTTCGATATAATTAGTATTTATATTATTTTACAAAGTGTAAATATACGAATACTTTTAATTATAATGTATATTTCTTATAAACTTTGTGTATTTATATGTTACAGAAACGATGTTTAGTTTTCACAATTATATCATGTCAAAAAATCAATTTCTTAAGTTATTTTTCATAAATGGTTTATTTAAACAAAAAGTAAGTCTAAATATTCATTAAGAGTTGATGATTGATGAAATTATTAGTGTTGGAACATTAAAAAATATCTTAAATTTTGCAATAGTGAAAGTTATTTTTCTTTTATACAATTTTGACCAATTTTGTTTAGATAAAATTATAAATATTATTTTGTTCCAGTTTATGGTAAAATACTGTTCAGTACTAACAACTTATATACATGATCTGGCTGTTCAAAAGCAAGCTACAATGAAACTAAGCGCAGATCCTGTAAATAAATATGTTTCAAGGACTCATACATGCGGTGAACTAAATATTCAAAATGTAGGAGATAATGTTCGATTGTACGGTTGGTTAGAGTTTCAAAGAATGCATAAATTTATAACATTAAGAGATGCTTATGGTTCTACACAACTTCTTATACCAAATGATGTGAGCACATATAGATATATTCATTTAAAACAAATATGTAATGGTAACTTAACAATTTGAGGTAAGATCAAGGATTTCTTATTTTTTATTTTAGAGAAAGGATTTGGAAGAGTTAGTTAGGAGTTTAACATTTGAAAGTGTAATAAATGTAATGGGTACAGTATGCGAGAGACCCAAAGGGCAAGAAAATAAACAGATGAAAACTGGATATATTGAAATACAAGTAAAATCTTTGGAAATTTTAAATGTTGCAAAACCAAATCTTCCGATTTTAGTTAGAGAATTTAATAAAGGAACAGAGGCCATTCAAATGAAATACAGATATCTATCTTTAAGGTATCCTCAATTACAAAGAAATCTGAGATTACGTTCACAAGTCATAGCAAAAATGAGAGAGTACTTGATTAAAGAATGCAATTTTGTGGATATTGAAACCCCAACACTGTTCAAAAATACTCCCGGAGTATGTATTTCAAAGTGATATACAGAATTTGTTACAGCAGGGGTTTTAAAATTTCATATTTTTGTACATATAGGGTGCTCAAGAATTTGTAGTGCCAACAAGACACCCAGGACAATTTTATTCACTGGTACAGAGTCCTCAACAGTTTAAACAATTATTGATGATTGGTGGTTTTGACAGATACTTTCAAGTTGCTAGATGTTATAGAGATGAAAGTTCTAGACACGATAGACAACCTGAATTTACACAGGTGTGTATTTACTTGCAAATATACATGCTAAATATCAAAAATACATTTCATAAATATATCATTTCATAGCTAGATATAGAAATGGCATTTGTTAATTCCGAGGGAATAATGGAATTAATTGAAAATTTGTTAGTATATTCTTGGCCTGAAGAATCAGAACCAATAATTGCTCCTTTCAAACGCATTGAGTATGACAAAGCTATGGAATTGTATGGTACAGATAAACCAGATTTAAGGATACCGTATCAAGTAAAAATTTAATATATTTTTAGTTTAAATATTGTTAAATAATGTTAAGAACAACAAATATTGTTAATATTTCAGCTTCATAAACTTACAGAAATAATTGATCATTCAACATTAGAACAAAGTTTAAAAATGAAATGGGATCAGAACTTCGAAATTTACGCGTTGGTTTTTCCCAATAAGCATGTATGTTTATGAATAATTTCTAACTTTCTTCTTTCTCATCTTTTGCACATTTACAATAGATTTTCTAAATTTTAGGATTTCCTTAAAAAATCTGTTAAGGAAAATATTTCTAAACTACAACACGACTATTTTCCTTCTGTGAAATTAATTCAAATAAAAGTATTTAATAAATCATTAACAACAGAAACGAATAAAATGTACTCAAACATTTTAAATGAAAATGTACAACAGGAATTAAATTTAAATGAAGGAGATGTTCTGTTCTTAGCTTGTGGACATAAATTGCCCACTGCAAGTATACATTTATTAATAATCACGTTTAATTAAATTTACCTATTTCGTCTTTAATTTCCAAGTATACTGACATTGCCTTAAAATGACAGCAATTGCTATTAGGAAAAGTACGCATTGAATTTACAAATCTGCTGGAAAGTAAAGGTCACAGTATTCGTGTTTCCGGAAACGAAATGTTGTGGGTTACTGATTTTCCATTATTTTCACTTAATACAGAAGAAAATGAATTGGAAGTCATGCATCATCCATTCACACAACCTCATCCGGACGATATTCAATATCTTTCTGAGAATCCGACAAAGGTACCTACGCTTGTTACTTAAATAATGTACTCGGTAGCATTTTATTAAATAAAATATTTATTTTACCAAGTAAAATATTTATTTTATTATAGGTAAGAGGATTGCATTATGATTTAGTTATGAATGGTTCAGAAATTGGAGGAGGATCGATACGAATTCATGACGCAAATTTGCAAAGACAAATATTGAAAATGTTAAATATAGACGAATCTTATTTAGCACACATGCTTGATGCTTTAGAATGTGGTGCACCACCTCATGGTGGGATTGCATTAGGTATTTTACTTTATATATAAACAATATTAAAAAAAAAATGAACATTAAAAGAAGCAATGTTTTAAATAATAATATTTTCAAGGACTGGATCGCTTAATGTCCTTACTGTGTAAGGAACATAACATAAAAAACGTAATAGCATTTCCAAAAACTACCGAGGGTCGAGATTTGATGTCAGGGGCACCAGCTCCAATTTCTGACAAAGAGAAGACGTTATATCACATACAAACCATAAAGGAATAAAATAATAATTAAACAATATTCTTTGTACTGTATAGTATAATGTAAAAATAATGTACAATTTTTGTCGAACTTTTTTTGAAGCATAAAAGCAATCACAACCTCCTTGAAAATCCAAAAGAAAAGAGGAATGACTTTTTCAGTAATTCAATATAAATGAAATATATTCCATAAGAAAAATAAAATTCAATTACAGAATATCATAGATATTATTCAGATATATTTCGAGAACCTGTTTTTCGATTTACAATATTCGTAATATGTCGTATTTCTGTAATTACAAATAATTCTAAATAAAATGTTCTTATGACAGCGATCATGACTGCAATTGATCTTTGTAATTTACAATATCCGTTCATATTGCACTTCCGTAATCCTATAAATAGTTACAAATGAATCGTGGTAATTCTGAGACAGCAGCGATAAATGCGACTGATGCAACCTACAAAAGTATAAAAATAAACTATCAGACATTACTGGTTTAAACGAAATTTTGTACGATCACTATCGTATATCACAAAACGGGAAATTTATCGCGCGAAAAAACAGAATTGTATTGGAAAATTGTATCGTTGTGACTTACAACGTTTGAATAGTATTATTATTAGAAACTCCACCGATTTACTGCATAGATGTAATTACGTTATATTAACACACGTGTTACGTAGCGTTACATGTCCTAATATTGTTAATGATTTTGCAAAGTAACGCAAATGTGAACAGCTATTAATATAATAAAAATAATTGTGTAGTAATATTATTTTTCAAAATTAGGTTGAATTTACGTTACCAAAATGGTAAATAGCCAACCGTTGTCAAAAACGAGTATAGAAATAAAATGATAAGACCAAATTTTGATGTACAAAAAAAGTGTTTTATTAGAATTTTTTTTCTTTTTTTTTTCTTTTTTTCTTTTGTAGTAAAATATCATACGTTCTATTCAAGTGATTTAAAAAGAAAATAAAAAGTTATTCTGCGCACTAAATCGTCGAATCGGCACACGTTGTCGGCAAGAAAAATTCAATGAGATGTATAATATCCATTTCTGCTTTTCTCAAATACGCCTAAATAACATTAAATTAAAAATTCGCTAATAAACGCGTTGATATGTTATTACGTTTATTCGCCAGTGGAAGAAAATTTTACTTGTTGACATTAATATTCCCTGGACTTAGCGAACTGGAACATAGATAAATGTGTTCACGAAACATTTTCTTTTTTTTTTCCAAATGGGTTTTTTACGATATACAATTTCACAAAACAATGCGAAATCTTATTTGTTGTTGTTTACGTAATACAATTTTACTAACTTGTATCTCTTAATTACTTTACATCTATTTGTTTGCGTAAGGCATAAACAAAAATATACAGCTTACGAAGAAAAAAGTCCTGAGTACACACGTTTAAAATCCTACTAATTCAAATTATATTCAATAACTCGACCGTTTCGCGGTTAACTTCTGTACTTCGACGTTTGTAACGACAAACAGAAACGAAGAAGGAAAGACCAGATGGAAGTTCTGAGATTTGTTTCTGATAAAATACAACATTAAAAATGTGCGTACTCTATAATTCACCGTTGGAAGATATTTACGTCATTATTCAACCTTTCAAACTGAATGCATTCTAACTGATGGACTGATGTTCATTTCGTATGTTCCTAGTTCTCTAAGACACTCTATGATGTAACGTTCTGTGTGTAATAGACTGATTCTATTCGCGCAGAAAATGTAAACGTTCAAAAATTAGTACTGTATGAGGCTACGGTTTCGTATACAAACACTTGACGGTAATTTGTACAAGAACTTAACGTAGGAACTTAGAAGCGTATACAGAGATCGTGTTTCTTCAAAAAACTAAACGTTGCAAAATAACGATTGTCTAAACACAAACAATTACAAACAGACGAATTATTTTAATGATTCACATCACATTTAGTATTTTTTTTTTTTTTCTTCTGAGGCGCACCTTAATAAAACGCTCTCTTAATTAGTAAGACTCTTCCGATCGACAAACGATGTACACCTATCTTAAGTTCAATTCTAAATCCCTATGTTAAGTGGCCGCGTGAATCGACGATTACGACAGGGACGTAAGTGGGATGTTGCGCAGTCCGGGCACAGCATTTTCCTTCCGTCCAATTTGTCCTTCATTCTTCCTCGAATATGTCGCATAAAATAATAAGGTAAACGTGTCGAATGAACGTTGAGAAATTTTATCACTCACGCAACATCGGTGTCTTTCTTTTTTTTATCGACTGACTGTGTACCCCGGTTGCGCGCAACAGAATGTAAACGCACGGTCGATTGATGAAAATTTTAAATTCGTAAAAAAAGGTTTCGTACTTTTTTTGTTTTTTTTTTTTTTCTGTTTTCTATACATATACATACATACATACATACTACATACGTACATACACGCGTGCGCAAACACACATACATACATATATATATATATACATACAAGAATGACAGGAAACGTTAATTAATCTCGATAAAAGAGAAATCGCTAACATTTACGCCCCTGACTTTGAACAAATGAAGATGGATTCAGGTGGACTTGGTGGCCACCCAAATATTCGGTCGATCGATCGTTTCAACTTTCATTCCCCGGTTGCACGATTGTCGATCGAACGTTCCGTCACAATTTGACAGAGTTATATGTACAATTTCTCTCGCATTTTTCCTTCTGGGAACACAGTGTTTCGCACGCGTTACCCGCGAATTACGGAAAATTTGTTTGCGTTAGGATACTCTCAGTTTGGACATTTACTCGATTACAAGTTGGCAGTATGACATAGAGTGTTTAATCTATATACGTAGTACTTTCGAGAGACGATCTGATTCTTTAAGTCTGCACCTTCAGTGTTCATTAAACTTTCCCTTGCTAAAATCCGATCGGTTGAATATAATATTCGTTCTATATTTTTTTTTCTGTTCTTTTTGTCGTCAGTCTAACCCCCCATTTCTCAGAAATATCGCAAGACATCTATTCTTAAATAACATCGTACTATCCACTCGTTCGTTTGACACAGGTATCGCGATATATAATTGCGCACGCTGTTTCGCCACTTAGAAAAATACTATTTTACAAGACGAGGCGAACTCGCGCGTTCGACGACACAATGTTATGCACTCGAGCCCGCAAAACTCGAAGATACACAAGCGAACACATCAACATACAAAGAGAACACATTCCCGTACATATGCACATATACACACATACACCGTCGTAGAATCAATAGACAATACGCAAATATGTGACACGCTCGGTACATACATGCACACACGCACGCTTTCATATAGAATATTATAACCACCTACTCTTGCATAAAATATGTTAAGGAAAACGTCTAGAAATACTAAAGGACACTGTGAATATAAATGGTATATACATGACGATGAAGGCAGACATATATAAATGAACAGGCAGAGTATACACAAGTAAGTCATGAACATGAGAGTTACACATAATTGTGTAATATTTTATCGACGCGACTAGTCTCGAATTTGAGAGCGTATCAATGATAAACGATGACAGAAATTTCGATAAGTCAATTCTAACGCGTGTACAATAAAATGAAAATATTGTTTAGCCGTTGTAATTACATTATATAAAAAGATGGATTATCAAATATTTATTTAATATTTTTTTTTTCATTGAATTAAAGCGTCCGAACGTGTTTGCCTGTCCATTCGTATGCACTTGTTTCTTCATTAAAATGAGATGCCATATCACGATGACATAAACATTAAACTTTACTGTACTACTGTGAGACGATTAGACTTAACTGCACTTCCTACCATCGTCGAATGTTTCTCACCCGGCCCGCCGGTTCCACGCATGTAGATTAAAAACGATACCATATCTAGAATAATACATATACAATAACGTAAGTGCCATCGTGGTATACTTTCTGAATTATTATACTTTTATCGCATGGAAGTCGTAGAAATACGTGATACCTTACTGCCGTCAACAGAGCGTCTACTTTAAACGTCCGCGTGTTTATTACGCACAATAAATAAGCTCGATAACTATCGTTCTTCTGCACTAACAACGTATCGTGCATTATTTAAATCTCAAGTAGACTCGGTTGTAATTGGGTTCAAAGAAAATATCCCTGATTTCGGACGGCCACTGGGGACTTTTAATTAACGTAACCCAATTGCTTAATTTATATCGATAACAATTTTTACGCGCGCGATATCAGCGATTACAATTCTCAATTTTGGATACCAATACTATAGAATTGAACGCGGGCGCACACGTATTTGCGTGTGTCGCGAATTTCATGTGTACATGGTATACAATAATAATTTTTGAAGTATCAGTATGAATTTATCAATTTCGTTCGTTTCTTTTTTCACTTTTGTGCTTCAAACTCGTTTCAAATTATGTTAAGACACGTTCAATTGGAAAATGCATATAAATATATGATTTTAATGTGATACTGTACTATGTGTCAATTTTTTTGCCATGACCATATACATGTATATAAATGGCTTGACCTGACTTTGTTAAGGTATAATCAAAGATGTAATAATAACAAAGTGCATTGTAAAATTATTGATTGCTCAAAAATTAATTAAATATACAATTCAAAGAGTTTTTGTAGCATACGGTAGATAATTCAATATCATTATACTACACACAGGTACACAAGAAGGAGTTATGTACACAAGATGACACATTCAAATACTAGTGATATTTGTAGTATACTTTGAGAAAGAAGAGAAGCGATGGTATATCACGGTTCTTAAATATTGACAAGGTGTTATTATGATGGTCACGTTCATCGCACCATAGAGTACATGACGATGTAAACAATGAAGATGGCAGAATACATAACAGTACACAATGAACTCGAGGCGAGCCAATGAGCCAAACGGACCAAACTCCTAGATATTACATCAACTCTTCTGCTTCTTGGGTTCATTCCAACACCAGTGTCTCATACATCGGTTATTCTATTTTGTACACAATGTAAATGCAATTTCTGCTTGTTTCAGATACCCAAGAACTGTCCACACTCATTTCTTCCTTGAACTGATATAATTTACAGTCCTTTCTTGCACAAAATTAGGTAAATTCTTGCGAGCTTTGCCCGACATTCTGTACATTAATTTTATGCACTTTCATCGACAGTGGGTAGCCAAAATGCCATATTGGTACAGGCTGATGCTAGCATCATATACTTAGGATTAAATTGAATACATTGAACAGGTGCTGGATGATCACCATTGAGCACACAAACTTTGTACCCTGTTTCAGCATTCCATACGTGCACTCTGCCATCCGTAGATCCACTGAATACGAATTGGGAATCAGGACTAAAACTGGCTTCAATCGCAATTCCTTTGTTATTCAAGTAACCAGCAAATGTTTGTAAAGGTGTACCATGAAATGCATCGATCAAACGAATTGTGCTGCCATTCGTGGAAATCAATATTGTTTTACCATCTCTGCTGAACTTTAATCCTGTCCAGTCACATTCCTTTTCTTGTGACAATTTAAATGTGACAAATGGTCCCTTATCAAAACTGCGTAAATCATATAATTTTATGAACTCTGAATTGACACCTGCAGCAAAAATAAGACCTTCTGGATCATATGCAGCAACTGGACGTCCAGAAACGTTCATAACACCATGACAGTTAGGTGAACGTAAATCCCATAGTCTTAAAGACTTATCTAAAGAACCAGAGAGAAATGTGTCTTCTATGGGACTGATACATAGCGATACAACTTTCTTGCTATGACCTGGGAAATATCTTATATACTTGTTGTCGTGTAGACTTAGATAACGAATTGTGTCATCAATCTTGGTACTGCTGTGTATTGCGGTATTCTTTGCGTGGGTGAAATGAATTAAATCTACACCATACTTCTTAGAATTGACTGTTCGCACCTGGGTACCTTTCTCACAGTCATATATCACGATCTGGTCATCTTCCGAACAAGAAATCAAAGTGTCTCCGTTTGGTGAAAAGTCGATGCTGTTTATGCGGTCGGAATTTTCACGGAAAACCTTGGCCACCTTGAAGCTCCTCACCACGTGGTCAACTAGCTTCATGGTGATACACGGCGCGTTCTCCCTTTCGTGCCGTCCTCTTAACCTTCCCGCTTCCGCAATTTCTTTCTCCTTCCTTTTGATGTGGCCTAGGCGCCGAGGCGCGAACCTCCCGCGGAGGGGTCAGGGGTTCGTCTATGTACCACTGTTATTCACTTGGTGAGAAATAAAAAACCAGCGGGGAGTTCAAGAGGTCAGAGAATTCGAAACGAGGCTGAACTACCACCCAGTTACCCCCGATTTTTCTCGATCTTCCTTTTCTCAATATTAGACTTCCTTTTCAACCAAGTTGCTTTACTTTAATCTGACAAAGGGATCCTTCACTACCTTCTCTCTTTCCTACGAACGGACGCCGTTGGCAGACTACCGCACACCGCACGCACAAATTCTGCCAACTGTTTAGAGAAATGGATGACGAATTACCGTGAACATTCTCAAGATACTGTAGAGTTGTACCGTGAGTAGAGCTATCGATCTGCGTTGACGTCGATGCAACGCATCGTTAAGTGAAACTGCATTATCAATGGAGCTGGACGAAATTTGAAATACAAATATTTCGAATGCCGAACCTGATGAACATCAATGCGAATGTAAATAAAATAGTATTTTAAATGCAACATGAAAGTTTTAGAAAGGAAACAATTTTATCGAAATAGCAAAAGAATGAAAGGTATCTTATTCTTATTTATAATTTTATTTACAAACCAATGGTTTCTGATGCTAGCACTATTTTTTCTAAGTGGTAAAACATCAAATTGATCAAAGTTTTTGGTTATTTCTAATACGCACTTGTACACATTTACGAGTGAGGTTATCTCTAATTCATACATGTCAAAATAACATAAAGAGTCCATCAATAGCCCAAAATGAGACACAGTTGTTGGAAAACCGCTTATTTTTGTTAAAGAATAATTTTTAAATCTTGTTAATTACATTCAAGAGTTATGACTCAGCCTATGAATCATACATCTCATCTGTTCAACAGATGACGCAGCATGTGGGTCAAAAAATACGAAAAAATATTTTTGCTATTAGGGATAGTCTGATAATAATATATCGATCTTGAAAGTATTAAAAAATGATTATGTACTGAATTCAAATAAGCTACTTATTATTTATATTAGAATAATGCGTAAAATGTTTGTCAAAGTATTACATGAAATACTTTATGCATATTAGGTAATTCTTTTATTCATTAGTCATAATCATAATTAAGTTTGAACGTATAAACTATATTTGTTTAATCATATTAAACAAATGTACCATTCACGTATCGGTAATGAATACGTAGTGTATCAAATTTAAGCATATCGTGATATTGGTACTCCTGCATACTGTAAATTTTCAAACATTCGTTAGAAGAAACGTAGCTAACGTACCAAAGATTTGTGAGTGAAATAAAAAGTATGCTACGAGATATTCCATCAAAGATAAATGCAGAAAAGTGATTGTACAAGAGGTATAAATGAATATTTTACAATTTATTAAGGAACCGTTAGTTTCGGTTTGCAGCATAAAGGTTCGTACAATATTTCGTCACTTAAAAAATGATTAGTCATTAACTAATATTAAATCTTTATGTGCAGCTTCGCTATATAAATTATAAACATATAAAATTTGCGTTATCACAAGATAATGTCTTTACTAGAAATGTGTTCTGTAATATCAGAATAACAATATATTCCGTTGTCTTCTTTATATGTACTTCGTTAGTTACATAAATAAGATAAATTTTATCATTGCAAAAATCATAACTAAACAACGCAAATGTTTTTCTTATATTATTATAAAATACCAATTTCAGTTTCTATTTTACTATCACTTTGACTTTGTCAAAGGCATCGTTGTGCATTATTAGTGGAACAATATCAACTATTATTAAATACATAAGACAGGTTTTCTTATGGTTCATTATAAACTCCTTATATTATTTATACGTACGTATTTTTCATCTTATCGAGATAACAATTTTTGATTATATCAAACACATGCATAATGGCAAATGGAATTTCTTTTATCAGTCAGTTTTTTCATTGATACTTTCATGTGTGTTCTTTCATTCAGAAAAGTTTTAGTTGAATTTTTTAAACGAAGAAGAAATAGAAACATCATGATACATTATACTACTAAAAACATATTATTTAAACACTAAAAAAAAATGTATCATTCTGTTTATATTCCATGTACATTTATATCATTGGAACAAGTATGTATACATTTATTGCAAAGCAGTTTACATATGAGTCGAACTAATATTTCTCTTTTTTGCATTATTTATACTTATATTTTAAAATAAATTTAAATTAAAATAATTTTAACTTTTACATAATACATTTTTCACTGTTCAAATTTTAAAATACACCTTATGCTACATCAAATTAAGCAAAACAGCACATAGATTGTGCTCATTAAAAGCATTAAATTCTGTTGTCTTGTCACTGACAAATACCTATAAAAAATTTCATAAAGCTGAATAACAAATTATGCTCAATAATGATATAATGTAATCACATTAAAAGTGTTTGATTATAATAGGTAAAAAATAGGTATGCATTTTTGCGATTAGAGCTAGATATAAATGTTTCCAATGTATCAAATTCAATGTATTTACAGCCATCATTTTTTTTTTTTATTTGAACTATGCAGTTTATATTTCTCTTTTATAAATTTAAGCTTAAAAAACATATTTACATCTAAGTGCGTTGCTGAAAAGTCAAAGTAATTAATACCGCTTTTAAAGACATATTTAATTTGTATCATTAAATTTAGTATCTGTTTGCACAATTTCTTATTACTATATACTTTCTAAAATGTAGATTAACTTTTTAAGTAAATATAGCCTCAAAATATTAAAGCTTAAGATTATCTTTTAATAAAATTTTCATTACTTTTATTTTATAAGGCTGATGTTAATATTGACTGCTATTAAATTTATATAAGTATGTACAGAAATTATTCACATAATATAAGTTATAAATTAACATCAATCTTTGTAGAGTTTTTATGAAATATGCGTAAATAAGTGTCTAGACATTTAATTCATAAAATATTAGTGCAATAAATATTTTCACATAATTAGGCTTATGGAATGTGAACAAGACACTTTATTTGAATCAAGATAATTTGTGTTGCAACAATAATTAAATTAATGAAATAGTTATATAATTGTTATACAACTATTGCCTTTACATATAAATTTTTATGTTTCAGTAGTCTCTTTTTTCGTTGTGATGAATATTGAAAGCTTCCAGTTCTAATCAACATTCAATGAAAAATATGCTTAAACGGTTTAAAGCATTTTGTACATAGTAAGTAGTTTTTATATCTCTTTACTTTCTTTCAATTTATATTAGGATGCCACAATGTACAGTTCCATTATTATACCTTCTTTTTAAATCTGTTTTTAAAAAACTATATTGCAAAAAGGAATTAGAGTTTGCAATAATAGTAGTGACATTAGTATATTGCTTAGAAAATTAAATTAGCAAAAAATATAGTTTTGTGTTTCATTTCGCTTTGTGTAATTGTTAGTTAACTATTTAAATAGATTTATATAAAGAGAAAGCTTCAATTCTGGCACGCATTGCTATATGATGAATTTGTTTTAAATTTATACTCCATTTTTTATAACAATAACAACAACAGTAACAATTATGATACTTATAATAATTGCAATGTCTTATAATTATTGTTTTTTTAAAAGACATTATTAATGATTTGCTTGCAAGGAACATATATCATGGTAAAGCTCTGTATAGAGTATACTGAAATTTACAAGACAAAATGGTAGATACTAAAAAAATATAATAGGTATAAATATCAAAGCCACTGTTAATAAAATTTCATATCATCGTTTTTAAAAATTCAGCCAGATTTCTATTACTATTTGTACATCAGTATACTTTACCCAAATCGAACCAATTACAATTTCAAAGACTGCTGCATAGAGCAATAGGCCCTGTTTTGGTCCCTGAACCTAAAACTTGTACTTATATTTAGCATCTTACAATTTTTACGTTTGTTATATCATTTGTTGTGAGCTAAGAAATTAATGAGAACCAAAATGTTACAACTCTTTTTATGTTAAAGATATAATCGAATTAATAAATGATGTTAATTGTTTTTATCTTACTTTTTTTTCACAATTTTTTAAGTGAAATTAAAATTGATGACTATGTTACCAATTTTAATATCTCTAAATTCGATATCTGTCGTCAGTTATCAAAAAGAGTACAAGATAATGTATCTATACATTTGTTGATGAACATTGATTGGGTTCTATCTTATTCAGAAAAGATAATTAATTTTAGAATGTGCATGTATAAATAAATATTTGCTTTTGACAGGATGTTCTCATTGCAAATGAATAATTTTTTTTTATTCAATTTCAATGGCTTAAAAAATTTTTTTGGAGGTTCAGGGAAATTGGTGATTGTACTTAAGCAGTTTCAGCAGATTAGACTAGTGTAGATTAGCGCATTATTTAAGTTAAATTATAACTTTTCTTCAAAACTACACTTTTTAAATTCATGTGCAACAAAGTGTAAGCAATTAATTTAAATTAATACTTAAATACATATACTCGTGCATATACACATACATATATAATAATATATGATTATATATGTATGTATCCATGCTTCTTATCTGTAACATTCAATTTAATTTCAGATACTGAACATTGTTTTTATAAATCATATAGGCTATGCGCGATTATTTTGCATAACATGTTGCATACTTTGATTTCAGCTATGTAATACTTTGTAAATTATTATAAAAATTCTTCAATTAAGGCTCTTTGCTCAAGTTTGTGCTATTTGTGTAATGATTGTGCAGTGCATAAACGTAATTGCTTAATCTGTCAGGCCAATTGTTAATTCATAGTTACAGAAACATGATTCCATGTTCACATTTTTCTTATGAATAGATATTATATATATATGCATATATACATATATCTATGTTATTGCATATACCTATTATAAACGTGTAAATTTCAAAAGCATGTTCAAGTAATACTAAATGTCTTTAATTACGCTATCTATTTCGTAGGAAAGGCCTCGTAGTGCTAAATATAAGAAAAAAAAAAGTTTATATTTACGGATTTAACCTTCCTCTTTGCATGTTCTATTTAAAAATTTATTGTATATTTTTTCACTAACTCGGGTTACCACGGAATTTTCACTGTTTGTTAAATTTGTTCCTTGTCCTTGAAAATGCATAAAACGATAAAACACATTAATTCTCAAGACCGCTTCTGTGCCCACTTCAAATCGTCTGCTCTTGGCTTGCAACCAGTAGCTTTTTCAATGAAAATTTCCAAAATGTACCAAAAACGAAGCTTTTCTAATGGCCAATTCAACCATCCGGTAGTAATGCAGAAGTAGGTTTCATGCGGTGCAACATGGTGCACGCGATGATGTTTTCTAGGCAATATAATTCTGTGTTCTTGTAACCAAACGACCCAAGTAGGTAGTCCGAAATACGTGTGAGACCATTTATGTATCTGAAAAAAATCTTTTATGTTGTTTGCCATTATGTCACTTTGTTAATGCTACTCTAAAAAAAATGACAAGTAACTTAAAGAGAAAAAGAATGAATTTACGAGCTATACACAAAATTGTACTTTGACAGAATTTTCAATCATTTACCTGATTAGTCATTGCTACAAAAATTGCAAGCTGAAACCAGTAACAGGTCCAAACAAATTTCTGTTGAATTACCGATTCTGGGAGACTTAAAAAATCCCATGTTAATTTGCAAAGGAATGGTATTGTGACCATAAAATTATCACCATTAGTTTCTATAAAATCATGCCTTGTTATACTCGTTGGATCAATATGATGTTCTCGAAATGGTCTCAAAAAGTTCTGCAAATACATGTTTTTATATTTAACAACACATGAAGCAATGTAGGTTTCTATAGTTAAAAGGAAAATTGTCTTCGTGTTTCTCAAAATATTGTATACTTGTTTAACATCAATATAATCAAAATAATATCAACAACGTAACATCGAATAATAGCTTTGCCGATACCAGCAATTATATTCTTGTACGGTTGTTTTTTACCTTTCCAAGAATTGGAAGTTCCACAGAGCCCCATGTATCAGCGGCCCAATGTACAAATCCAGATGCAAAATCTGCCGTAACAATGCCGCAAAATGCTGCCATCGCGATTGAACTTACATTTTCTACTCGTAATCTGACGAGGATAAATATTGAATTAACCACCATGAGTGTAATGCAGATACCAACACAAATGCACTCTTGTGTTCTTTTTCCTAAAATACATAAAAAATGTTGCTCTGAAGTAATATCGACCTTCGACATATTAAAAACAGAAAACTCGATCACGAAATAATACATATACAACACACACGCTCGTAACCGCATACGCAAGAAAAATTATAACAACGTTTTAACGAGTACTGTACAATCTAAATACAAAAACACGTATTGTTAGACATCTCTTTATTTTTGCACACAAGCGACGATTCCAAGGCACCACCGATGTATAGTCAATGTCTTGGCAAGTATTAAAATCAGAAAACATACTATGTGCACGTATCGTGCGTATGTTATTCCAACGTCTTGCATTAAATATAAAATGAATCATTAATTGTATCAAAATCCTCGCATAAATTATATTAGAACGTATTATTTCTATGATCCCGCTCCTTTTTCATTAACTATGTAATTTCGTTTCATTGATATTTAAATTAACGAATTAAATAATTACCAGTGCTGTAAAGATTTGCGAGTTCTTGGGCACCCTTGTGATTAGGGCCCCATCTCGGCACAGTTCTATCTTCTTGCGAAGTCGGTACCACCGAGTTGGCATTGGGATCGTCCTCGAGCATCGAATTCTCGTAGATTTGCCGTTCGGTTTTCACCGGCGCCAAGAAATTCGTTGCCATCGAGCATGCGGCTGAGGCCGCTTGGCCCAAGTTCGCCACCTTTATTTCATCCATAATTATTTCCGTTATTAATCTAGAATATCAAGGGGAACAGTCGAAAACGTGCGTTCTTCTACGAATCGATCCGGTTCTGTTGTATCTTTTTCGACATCGCTGAATCCCCTTGTCTCTGTATGTTTCTATGCACGGTTTATTCTCTGTTGAATAGTTTCTTAGGGAACGTAAGTGATCTTTTAAATTTTGCATGTAGAAACGGCCATAACATGTCACACATTATTTGATGTACTTTTGCATCATCTATAGTTTGATCCATTTGATTTTCGTACAAATATATCCTTCACAGTCATCACATCGTTTATTAGTAGTAGTTGATTTTGTTCGTTGTTACGTTTTCTTTTTCTCTTTTTCTCTTGAATTCTTTGTAATTGACCCTTCATGCGACGGGGTTTGTGCTAAAAAAAAAAAAAGTAAAGAACTTATTATACGATACAGTTTTTATAACATACATATTGCCTTGAAAGATACATCGTTAAGTTGTATGTATAATATATAAAGTCTACAAATTTTATCACGTGTAATATGCGAAAATTATAGCGTGCCGAAGCATCGTGGTTTAATACCTTTTATTGGACAATATTCGAGTAGAAAACTTAATCTGATATTACACGCGATGTTACGATAAAACGTCGAAACTGACGGTCACAAGTACTGAACGTTCCGCCTTTGATAACGCTTTTCCGGAATTAGAATGTCTTGGAACAGTCTTCGTAGCGTCGAAAATATATTACGATTTATAGATAATATCGTGTAATATTTGTTTAGTCACAGAACTATCAGGTAATTAATCGTAATAATATTGATCATCACATGACCATGACGCGGAAAGTTAGAAACATCATTCAGTTAGAACTCTAGTTCGTTTTGTTGCTTGAAGAATATTTACAGGACTTTATATTCTGTCTCTTTACTATTATTTAATTAAATGTACAGTTCAGTTATTTAACGCGAGAAATTATTTCTGCAGGAAAATTTAAACTATATAATTAATTAGCAGAAATGTTATCTCAGACTGGTATCTTTAAAGTAGGATAAAGATAATGAGCCATAAATATCTAGACCGTTGAAAAGTAATAACAATGTGATTTAAACCTTTGTGCGGGCACCGGTAAAGTAGGTTAATTTCGCTTTTACACGAGCTTAAGAAACAATTTTGATAATATACCAAGTCTACCCTTGTCCCTATTTTGATCGTGTATCAACCAATCGAAATAATTCAAGGGTTACTTTGTATCACGAATCACTTTTAGTTTACCAACATATACAAATACCTCATTCACGGAATTGTACGTGCAAAAAAAATTAAACTTTTAAAAATTTACGTTTATAGTAATTAAAGGTCTACAGTAAGGATTTCGTGCAGTTGCTTATGCAGTTTTGTACGGTAATTGATCAAATTGCAAGTAACGGCCTTTTCCTACATAATGAAAGTGAAGGTTACGTGACAACATAGTCAATCAGTTTTTTTACATTCTCTATTGTGCATACTCTAGTAAATATAAAATTTATGAATACTTCGTTATTGATGCTTTTCAAATGTGGGCATGGACGGTACTTTAAAACCGGCGACATACATAGTTATACACACGTTCATACATACTTGTACGCTATGCATATAGACACGCGCTCACACGTGCATATTTGCATTGGAAAAAAAGCAAGTTGTAGTTAAATATGAATACAGGGTGGTTGGTACAGATCTAGCATTGATTTTATGTTTGAATATTATAACAAATTGAATTTCACTGAGTTAAATGTCGAAGGCATACCCATGAGACGGACGAAAGGAACAAGTATGACAATAGATAATTCTTGCAAAACTTAGAGGATTTCTCGATGCCTCCGTGCTCCGTCGATATCCTGGTCGTCGCATTATCCAGCCATAAAGTTGCTGAATGTGCACGCTCAATTAGTCACTGGTAGAACCGAAAGAGACCTACAGCGAGACACTATCGTACCTCGTATCGATGTAACACATACACACGTAAGAAAAGCACGCATGATGTTCACATGCATTAGTAGTTTCGCGCACAAGTTTTCTTCTTTTGGCTCTTGTTACACTGTGAAATCACTGCAGAAAGCTAGGAGTAACAGGTTCGGGATTTTGTACATTTTTGCAAGTGACAGGGAATACAATATAAGAATATAAAATCGGAAAGGCGGCGAAGGTAATAAAAAATTGTGGGGAAAGAGGGACGGTAGGATTAATTGACGAAACGATCGAATAGATACGGTTGTTACGATTTGGCATTTAACTTCGGATACTGTGCTTCTCTTGTAAACCAATAGGAACAAACGTAACGAAGAGAACGTAAACGGAGGCGCTAGTTTCGCCGTATGCCTTACACAGTTCTGTTCGTGATTTTCTTCGGTTCTTTCTCTTTTGCTCGGGTTCAAGTTGCGTGAATTTGCTGACTCTTTCCTTCTTCTTTCATACGAGCTTCTCTTGCAACCCCGCCTCGTTTCGTGACGAACGACCGGCGCCGCCTCACGACCATTGCTCGCGTCGCGTCGCGATGCTCCCGTGGCGCCGTCATGCGGCTTACCCTTTCTGACGTTACCACTTTTATATGTAGGAAGATTTCCGTCTATACGAGGTGGGATAATTTGTTACGGTTGAACTTCCATTCGCTTAATTCCGTCCTGCCCACGGGTAGAGCATCTTACGCGATTTCGCCCCCCCTCTAGGTACCATATTTAGTTTGTATTGTGTCTACATACAAAACCCGATATTAACTGTACATACATACAGTGCCCGTATCTACGATACGAAGAAAAAGTGGGGGTAACTTGGTTTTAGGAGCAGTTTTGAACAGAACTGATCCAAACTGAACTAGATTTAATATAATGACACAAGACAGTCCTGTCTACAGTTACAGATCCTTATGCTGTTATTGGGCTCATACATACATGTGATACAATATCAAGTAGCGGAGATATGTAACGAAGACAGAGCGAGGGAGGGAAATTGCTTTGGGTGTAACTTTGGATAGGACTGATTCAATTATTTAAAAGCGCGTGTTGGGTGAATAATTGTTTTATTCTAACTTTCATTCGAACAGCCTGTACTATTATTTTTATGTAAACTGCACGTGAATATATGGCCATAAAAAAAAACATGTACACGTCATCGATTAAACACGCAGCGGTACGACGTGACTATTCTTGTGTGTATCACGACATGTTTGCGTTCTTTAAATGTTACGTGTGTTCTTATTGTGTGACTCAAATCCATGTAACCTCTACGAAATGTGTAATTACCGGCGCATATGACTTCATTTCTATTAAAATTACATTTCCTATGCGCTAATTATAGCACATATTACTATTGCTTTACGTGATCTGATTTATGCTTTTAATATGTCGATTCTATTTAAAGTTGATATAAAAATTTTACAGACACGATGCCTATGTACACGTAAAATCATGTGATCATGCACTGGACACTGCACGTTGTACATTATAGAGGTGAAGAACCTAGTACATTTACTATTAAACAGTGAACAATTAAGTGTTGTGCAAAGTATGATATGACCTAAGAGTCCTTTAGACTAGAGTATGTGGCGTCTCACGGAACATTCATACTTTATTCAGAGGTAGATCGACCGAATAGCTAGCCCCTAACTAAGTTTTTCATAAGTTATATCACGAAGATATGTAGACCTGCGATCACGTAATAGATAATGGCTTTCACGATAGTATACTATTATGTATTATACAATACATATCATAACGGCCATTTTTAATGCTAAACATCAAATAGATTTTAATTTAATTAATGAAAAATTATCGATTACCTATCGATATAAATCGATTATTTTTTATTATTAATTCTTTGCACTCAAAAAATTTCCATCGAGTATATCATTAACTTGAAATAATTTTTCATGAAAATTTATTTTATTATATTATTATTTAACCGTTCAAATTTTATATCAAACATTTAATAGTCCTGCTACGGAACTTTTCGAGTGCAAAAGGTTAAACCGATCTCTTAATACGAAGCGTTGAGTTCATGATCTATCTATAATTTTATGAAAGCATTTGACCGTATACTTACCGTGTATATTTAAGCATAACAATCGTTTGATGGTTGCAAAGAAACAGTGTTACAAACGAAAACTTTTCTGCTAACTTTCAAAATAACATTATTTTGTACTATTCAGTGAACTCTTCTCCGTAATTTATCTGTTTGAGGTTATCTGTTCTTCTTTTAGCCTTGTACGACCAGTCTAGTTGCCAAGTTACAATAATGCCAAAATAAACTCAGAAGTGCGAAACTTCGGTTGACATAAATTCTTAACTGTGATAAACGTGGTACATATAAGAGACGGTTATCAATCAAAGGAATAAATGTTCTTTCTTTACAATGAATTCCGTTGTACCGTTAAAGGAGAAATGTGATTTGTTTCTAGCTGGTAATAGTCAATAATGAAAAGAGTTTCGATATGTTTATTTACGATTTGTATTACGTGATTTGACAGTAATTATTGAATTATCAGATGTTCATAATATGAACCTACGATAACATAAAATTGTACAGTTATGCGTGCAAACACATAGGTGAGTTGCAATCCAAGTGCTATCGGCATCTACAAGCTGACCCGGAAGACAAAACGAAGATGGCATCATTCGACTGCTTACGTAGTAGCTAGACCACTTTTATTTTCGTCGACCAACGTAGCAGCCATCGTCACGAAAACGACAATTGCTATTTTATACTTTTCATATTATATAATTCCTACTAAAGTTTATCGATCATAAAAAAAAACATAAATAATATAAATTATATCGACAAAATGAATTTTATACAGTAGTATAATTAACGCGAAGCGATATAGTATTCTTATATAAGCTAATCTAATTTAATACTTTAATCTTCATGAATGAAGTTCTCTGTAATTGTGTAAAAATATCTTTATTTTTTTTGGATATTCTAATTAGTAATTTATGAAAAATACCTGCTTATTTGTTCAGTTATGTATTCTGTGTAATACGCTACTGCACTGATTCTGTTTACGATTTGTTTTTCGGAAGTATTCAATTTATACATATGCATTTTTTTCCCCCGGTCAGCTAAAACATAAATTTCTAACTTTGCTGAACATTTATTTTTATGCTGTCTTACAAAGTAATTTTGTATTTCGCGTAACAATTTCATTATGTTGAAAATATTTACCTGACGAACTAAGGAAAACATGCAACAATGTTACGAAGCCTCTTTTATAGTTACGATGTAAAATGACAATGTTTTCAGTAAGCACTATATTCACATCATCCTACGAACAGTAATTTAGATAGTAGTTTTGAAACTTACTATTAAAATTTAGTTATACCGTGATTGGTCTAGATTTTCCTTAGCTTCGAAAGACACTGAATCAACTAACTATGGCATGCGTAGCGTAGCAGTGGCGACATGATGCACAGATGTCCAATATACGATGCACCAGCGTACAACGTGTGCCACAATGACAAACCACAAGTTGATATTTTTCGCTGCGGGATTGAGTAAGTAGATATCGGTCATTTACGGACTTGCGTGCTGTCATATATCCAAGGTACGAAGAAGACTGCACGAAGCGTGGGAGAGAACATATTATACACCTGACACGACATGATTTCGATTGTTACAAACACTTGTCCAAAACATGTACAGGGTGGCCACTGCAGCGGTTACTGTAGTTCTAGAACTTATTACTGATCGTTTGTGAAAAAAGAGAAGAAAAATCTATTAGTTTTCATCATGAAAAATAAATCACATGAAACTTTTGTCAATAAATCATCAAAAGTAATTTAAAAAAACTATAGCGCTACATAAAGTAATTCATGAAGTCGTTTCTATTCGATTGAACCATTTCGGAAAATTCACTGATTCGTGAATATTCAACGCGTGTTAAAACAGTATCATAGAGTGAATTCATGATGCTAAATTTATAACACACTCATCAAACTATCGTATAAAAATAGTTTCATTCATTCATCGTACTATTATATCACAAACATTTGCATATAAGCCAAAGAAAATATCCAGAAAACATAAGGGGGGTTTATCTTAAATTACTTCCATAATTAATTAGAGATATGTATACCGTATATGTATATATATATAATTGGTATACATATGTTTCGTAACGAATCATTAATATTTGGTAATGTTTATTGAATTTCTGTAATAAGAATATTTTAATAAAAACTTAAAAATATAGTAAAGTTCGCTTATGCATAATTAATGTTAGTGTAAAAAAGAACTTATTTGCTGACTCGATAATAGATTTTGATTATATATGTCAAATCTATATAAAAAATGATATAATATATAATTTTATCGTAATTACATCATCATGACTGCATACCTATAACTGAAAGAAAAGTAACACATATTTCAGTATATGTGATATAGATCTTTTTCAGGTTTTTTTTATCAAAAAATTATCATGTTTATTAACACTGTGTATGTGAAAACTTTTTATCGTTATCGATGTATTAAAAAATACAATTCGGTTACTCTTACGAATAAGTAGTAGATCAACTATGTACTCATATACATTTCGGCACAAACACTTGTCCATATTACACAGATTCAACGAGAAACCATATACGCGTCTGACTCCTGATTGACAACATGACATTAATGCATTCATATGCACACATAAACAATTTGTATTAATCCGCGTTTGATAGAAATTAATTCGTATTATTTCCGTATTGCCAACAAATATTATAAACATTGTAACATGAATATGAAGTTTTAGTTACGTGTCATACTACATACAGCAAGGTTAGTTTTATTTACTTTTACAGGTTCAGTAATAGTTATAATTATAAGTTATTTTTTCAGTGTAATAATGAAAAAGCAACAGTTTAAATCGTAATATTTGTTCATTATCCTTTGAAACAATGAAGCTGACTGTGTTCAATGAAAATGATTTTGTGCTTTTAGTAGGAGAAGGCAACTTTTCGTTCGCTGTTGCTTTGCTCAGACTTAATTTAAAAATTACTATCATTGCTACATGCTATGAAGCTAATATTTATCAAGATGTTGGAAAGAAAAACATAGAATGTTTAGAAAAGAATGGTCAGTATCTGAAAAAAACAAAGAAAGACTAGAAACAACACTGTCTTTTAATTAAATTAGTTGTATAAAGAATTCTATGCTTTTCTTTTCAGGAGTCTGTGTACTATTAGGTGTTGATGCAACAAATTTGAAAGAACATCCGATATTAAAAACAAAGTTATTTGACAAAATTATCTTTAACTTTCCTCATGTTGGTGGTAAAATGCGAATAGAAAAAAATAGAGAGTTATTAAAACAGTTTTTTATAAATGCAACAAAATTATTGAAAAGTAATGGGCAAATATTAGTTACTTTATGTAATGGCCAAGGTGGCACACATATTGATGATCCACCGAGGCGTTGGGATGATTCATGGAAAATTACAGAAATGGCATCCCATGGAAATTTTGTATTAAGTACAGTCGAACCATTTCAATGGTTGTTTTTTCAAAATTATATAGTAACTGGATATCGTGGTTTAGATAAACAATTTCACTCTACTAAAGCTTTGACTCATGTATTTGTTAAATCTGAACCTCCAAATGTATTGAATATTGTTCCTGAAAGTAAAATAGATATTTCTCAATGTGATGATAATTTTTCATGGAAACGTATAACTGAAATAACACATACATCAAATGTATATGCACATACATATGTATTTGATATAACTTTTAGTGTTGAAGGAAAATTTAATTCTATTAAATTTTATACATTATTGTACAATCATGCTGGTCGCATTATAAATGATATTAATTTGTTACGAATATATAAATCTTCTTCACAAAATATAAAAAAGAGAACTTATAGAATATATTATAAATCTGATTGTATACCTTTATATAGAAAGAGAGTCATTGATATACACCAAAATTTAATTACAAATATTTTGGAAGATAATTTAAATGTGCTAGTTTCAAGATAGTACTATTTTATCTATAAATTTATAACACTATTCAATGTAAATATAATTTAATAAAATATTGTCGATTTATACCTAAAATAATATTGTATTATTTGGTCTATTTTGTAATATAAGCTTTTTAAAAATTTAATTAATTGCAGATGCATTGTTTTCGTCAAATAAGAAGTACAATGTTACTTATTACTACTTGGAAACAAGATATTATAAACATTACTATAAACGTGCACAAATATAAAAGTACAAATAAAAATGTATTTAATTCATTATATACTTCTAAATGGTTTCAACACAGAGAAAATGTTCCTAAACCATTACGCGATACAAAGCCAAAATCACAGAAAGATACAGATCGAAATTTTCTTGATATGAAGCAAGTATGAAGTATTAAGTAAAGCTCTTTGAATTTCTACATAATATTTACAGATACTAATTTCTATTTATTTAGGTAAGAACTATTGGAGGAAATGGTGGAGATGGAGCAATATCATTTTTACAATTATGGTCAAATGATTGTGCTGGACCTGATGGTGGAGATGGTGGACATGGTGGTCATGTAATCTTTGAGGTGTTAATTCTTTTAATTTAGACCTAATTAAAAGTTATTATTCCTGAATGAAAATAAGAACTATGAATTTTTAGGTATCATCAAATGTTCATGATCTCTCACATGTAAACAGTGTTCTTAATGCTGAAAATGGAGAGAAGGGAATTAATAAAGACTGTTTTGGAAAAAATGCTAAACATACTATTGTGAAGGTTCCTTTAGGCACTATAGTACGTAATTTAGACGGAAAAATAGTAGGTGACTTAAATAAAGAAGGAACAATGTTTATTGCTGCTCGAGGTGGTGCTGGAGGCCACGGAAATGCATATTTTAAGTCTGACTTGCAACAATCACCATATATAAGCGAGTATGGTGCACATGGAGAAAGTTTACAATACGTACTAGAAATAAGAAGTATGGCACATATTGGTCTCGTAAGTAGAAGCTATATTTATTAGTATTCTTATTCTATTATTGTAATTCTTTTAATTTTAACTAAGCACTAGCAATGAGAAAGTTATAAATGTTAAAACTGCGATTATTTTGTTTCTTTATAATTAATGTTAGTTATATACGTAATTTGTTGACGATAAGAACATATAAGCGGCAGTAATTTATTGTCTACGTTTTAAATTGAAAAATGAGAATATTTCATAATAGTTGAAGATATAAAAGAATTATTTACAACAAAAATAAGGCCATAAATTAGAGAGTTTTAATGTCGAGTCCCATTTCTGAGGAGTGGGGGAAAAGCAGCATCTTGCTCCGAGCGGAGTGGTGGGGGAAGCAACCATCGTGTCGTTGCTCCTTTCAGTACGCCGCGTAGTGCCAGATAGGGAGGGTGTTGATGTGTAGTGTCTCCCTCCACTACTCAAAAATGGGACTCTGTTTATTTCTTCGGCTACATTGGTCAGTTTCATGGTCAGTGTGTTTATTAAATGTGTCATTGCGTTAATTTAACCCTTTGTCGAATAACTTCGAATGAGACTCGTGGTCGGTCAGTTAAAATCGGGCTAGAAATGAGTATCACGGATGAGGATAAGAGCCGTGGAGCATCGATCAGACCCATCGTAAACAACACATATCGGGCTCGTGGTTTGTAGCCGTGCATCAACGTAAACAAAACGGGCTAGGTTCGTGGTCAATTTTCATCTTTGTTATGTTGTTTCAGTTTTGTAACCGACTTTGTGATCGTTAATGGCACACTCTGTTGGAATTTAAATCGTAGGGCAAGGGGTTAAATACAGTGTTTTTAGTATCGTGAAACGTCGTTAAATATTATTCCTACACGCAAATAAATTGCTACTAATTGCAGCAGCTTATTAAAGTTTATTTAGTGTTTTATAAGGAGTTGCAAATATATTTTAGATTGGCCTTCCAAATTCAGGTAAAAGTACATTATTAAGAGCTATATCTAGGGCTAGGCCAAAAGTAGCACCATATGCATTCACTACATTAAGACCAAACCTAGGAATGGTATTATACGATGACTATGAACAAATTGCAGGTTGGTAATATATTACTGCAATATGATCTCATTTTTAGTATATTTTTAATTAGCCACATATATTTTTTTTATTAATTGTTAAGTGGCGGATTTGCCGGGACTTATATCTGACTCTCATAAGAACAGAGGTCTTGGTATACAATTTCTAAAACACATAGAACGTTGTAAAATTTTATTATTCATACTGGATATTACATCTGACAAACCATGGGCAGATTTTGAGACCCTGATGTATGAAATTACACAATTCAATACAATGTTAAATAAAAGGTCACTTCTCATTGCCGCGAATAAGATTGATTTACCAGAGGCAGCAGTAAGATATATTATTTTTTTATAAGTTAACTTCTCAAGGAATAAAAGATCTGGTAATATGATTAATTATACAATTACAGGAAAATTTAGAAATACTTAAACAAAAAATTGATTTTCCAATTATTCCAATTTCCGCGAAAATGGGTATAAATATATCCAACTTGTTAAAAGAAGTAAGAATTTTATACGACAAAGAAAGGGAAGAAAGTGAACAGAAGAATGTCTTGTAATACAAAGACGATTCTAATTGATTATACTGTATATTTATAATAATATTAATTAATAAAAACAATTACAAAAGCCATTTATTTAAGGGGTATATAATGTTTTAGAATTTCACAGTTTTTTCACACAGCTTAAAGTCTTTTATAATTGACGTTACTTGTGGTTGATTTAAAATAGTAAGGAACCATCTATTTAAATTTGTGTACTGTTTCCTACATGCTGGATCAAAGGCATGCTCATATAATGGAATCAGAGCAGTGAAAATTGCTATGTCCGCAAGACTAATTCTTTCCCCAACTAAATAAGTTTTTGTCTGAAGTATATCATTTAGTTTTTTCAAAGAAGAATAGAGATCCTCTTTAGATGTCTTAATATTCCCTCTCATATTACTTGGTATATTATCTGCGAGACACGGAACAACCCAACCAGATACAGCTGGTAAAATATGGTTATCTGCATAACTTAACCATTGTAAAACTTCACTGAATGTAAAAGAATTTTTCGAACACCTTAGCTGACTATTTGCCAAATAAAATGCGATCGCGTTGCTATCAAATAACTCGAAACCATTACCTTGTAATCTTATGTCTCTAGAAATTACACCATCGTTCTTAGACTCCGATGTAATCAATTCCTTACCACTATACTTAGCTACTATTCGTGCGCGGTAATATTTGATACTTCCGGTATTACCAAAAAGTATTAATTTTTCATTGGAAGTTTTAGAACACACAGATTTTTCATCGCGTTTATCAATTATAACGTTCTCTAAAAATATACAATAAATTTTTTCTTTAATAACATACCCGTATTAATATGTAATAAATATTTCTTTACCTGTAATCCCAAGCTTCAAATTGGCAAAGTTCTTAGCCATGTGCATTAATTTACTTAAACACGAGATATTTGTACCCGTAGCTTGAGCAGATTCAGGTTTTCCACCTCCTTTCCCTTCCATAAGCGGAGCGATTTCTTGGATCCATTCATTTGCTTTCAATCCTTTATTTATAGCGGACTATTATATTTTATAATACATAAACGTTATTTTTTCTCTCCATTTTTTAAACAAGAATCAATATTCAATTATACATGTTTAATTTTACCTTAGACACTGCACTAAGTGCAAAAATTTTCTTAACATCAGGATCTACAGTTACAAGTAATGCACTTGTTTCTGGAGACACAGTTTTTATCTTTTTCAGAGCAGAATCTAAAGCCTTTGTGTTGCTATATGCTTGCACAACTTCAACCAGTATCGGGCATCCAACATTTTGTTGAATTATTTGGTGAATGGTATCTACCACTGAATTAGCGATTGCAACTTTTGCTGCGCGTTCTTTATTATCAAGCGTCTTTTTTAAATCTTTTAACATTTTACGCATTTTGTCCTATGTATGAAAAAAACATGCATACTATGAATTTACATATACATTATAAAATGATATGTAGGTGCAGTATAAAAATGCATACCTTTCTCCAGCTTGAAATCGTGGCGCGTGAGATGTCGTCTGTTAATTCAATGATTTCTTTCACATAATCTTTTGCATTAACATCACTTTTATCAGCTGTTATAGTCATTTGAAGTTTATCTAAATGACTTTGTAATGCAGCTGCTTTCTTCTGAGATTTTGTAGCTTCAGAACCAGTGAGAGCAACTATGCGCCTAACGCCTTTAGCAATCGCTTCTTCGCTAGCTATAACAAAATTTCCTATGTGTTCTGTGCAATGTAAGTGCCTGGAAAAATTCAAATTATGAAATATTTATTGTGCAGTTTTTGTTAGACAATTTAAGAACACTAACGTTCCCCCACAAAATTCTACACTGGTTTGCATTGCAGCAGGGCTCAAAGGATCTTTTTCCAAATCTTCAACTGGTATACCTATGCTAACTATTCTTACAGGATCAGGATACGTTTCTTCAAACATAGCACGTAAACCTTGAATAGTCTTTGCTAATGCTAAATTACTTTCTTTAGTATAAACCTTTTTCTTCTCTTTTATCATTTTGTTTGTAATTTCTTCTACTTCTTTCACTTGTTCCGCGGTCATGGCACCTGTAGAAACGTGTTCAAAATATAGTTAAACATTATTCGGGCAATTAAAAGTACATAATTTAACAAACCTTTATTCGTAAAATCAAAACGAAGACGATCGGGTGCAACTAGAGAACCTTTCTGATCAACTTCTGTACCCAATACTTTTCGGAGAGCATAATTAAGGGCATGAGTTGCGGTATGATTGCTCATTACAAGTCTCCTACGTGTAATATCTATATTTAAGTACACTTTATCACCCTTTTTTAATGTACCTTGTCCCACAGTACCAATATGCAAGACATAACCACCTCTTACTTGGACATTCTTTATCCGAACTTCAGTTTCCTGAACAATGAAAGTTGTTAGTTATATACGCGCACACACATATATAAATGCAAATGTATTACTTCCTTACCTCATCATCAACCTTTACTAAGAATCCTTCATCGTATATTTGTCCACCTTGCTCTGCATAGAAATTAGTTTGATCCAATAAAATTCCAACTTCTTCTCCTGGCGATACTTCATCGACAAACGTCTTAGCACATCTAAGAGCAATTACAGTACCGATACACGGCGTAAATTCATATTCCTCGTAGATCTTATTGTTGGTAACTGTGTAATTGTATTTTGGTAAATCATTAGTAGGCTTGACTCCTTCATTTTGTAATTTAGTAATTGCATGAACATCCAAATTAATTTGATCATCTACACCACCGCTTTTGCTTTGAGAAATGATCTGGTACAAACGAAGTAATCAAATTATTTTACGAACGATGCATGTTCAAACATTATTACATAATATTTTATACAGTACTTGAGCTTTTTTTCTTGCTTCTTCGTAACCTGCCATATCCACTTTCAGTCCCTTTTCTTCGGTCATAAGTTGTGTTAAATCAACTGGAAAACCGTATGTATCGTACAACCGCCATGCAACATCGCCTGGGACAATACTCGACGATTCTAATTTCGTTATAGTTCGGTTTAATAAATTACGACCTCGTGACAAGGTCTTAAGGAACTGGATTTCTTCTTCGTTAATAATATCAGTTATATATTGTGGATCTTTAGTTACTTCTGGAAAAACATCACCTATGGGGATGCAAAAGTATAAAATAAAAATTTGCAAAAATACTAGAGTGGTTCATAAATTTCTTCATTTTTTTTAACATTATTTTTCTAAAAATCTTTTAAAGCCATAATAAAAATGTTTACCAAGTAGCTCTACAACTACGTTCACCAATGTTCCAAAAACTCCGGGTTTTGCATTTAATTTTTCTGTCGCATAACGCACAGCGCGTCTTAAAATTCGCCTTAGTACATACCTAAAGTATAACTGGTATTAAAATAACAATTTAAAAAAGTATATGTAAATAAATATTAGTTTGTTCACCCTCTGCCAGTATTATCAGGTACACCCCCATCTGCAAGAGCAATTGTAATAGTTCTTGCATGATCTGCCAAAACTCTATATGCCATATCTATACCATCTTTATCATCTGACCCCACCCGTCCTTGATAAGGTGGTGCACCTGTGCTTTTCTGAATTGCATCGAAAAGCGGTACAAATAAATCTGTATCATAATTAGCATGTTTATTCTGAATAACCGAGACTAATCTTTCCAAACCTAAACCACAATCAATGTGTTTTTTTGGCAATGACCTCAGATTTCCATCAGACTCTCTAAAATAATATGTAATATGAAATAAATTAAAATTTATTTCACTTGTTACAAGTTACTTGCCTATTAAATTGTATAAATACAAGATTCCAAATTTCTAAAACATTTGGATCATCCTGATTCACTAAATGAGCTGCTTCTCTATTGCCAATACGATCATAATGTAACTCACTGCAGGGTCCACATGGTCCAGTTTCTCCCATTTCCCAAAAATTGTCTTTCATATTTCCTGGTAATACATGTGTAGGAGGTACTCTAAGAAAATAGTAAAGGAACATTATTGTAGACCAAAATATTTTTGTTTAACATTTACACAAATAACAACTCAAAATGTTATTAGTATTATATATTCAATTACCCTAAAGAAAGCCAGATATTTTTACATTCTTCATCAGGCTTTAAATTATTCTTCTCATCTCCTCCAAAATAAGTTACATACAATTGATTGGGTGATAATTGTAATATAACTGTTAAAAATTCCCAGGCCCAAGTACAGATTTCTTTCTAAGAGGAAGAACATAAATTTAGGATTTGCAATAATATTTTTGCAATATATAGTATATACATTGTAAGTTTTAATAATTTACTTTAAAATAATCTCCAAAAGACCAATTGCCCATCATTTCAAAAAATGTATGATGATAAACATCCTTTCCAACATCATCTAAATCATTGTGCTTCCCTCCAGCTCTGATACATTTTTGAGTATTAACAACTCTCACAAATTTTGCCATATCACTATTTGGATCCACTGTTCCCAGAAATATTGGTTTAAACTAAAACAAATTAGAAAGAATAGAAAGGTATATGTAATAATGTTTTTATTATTATATTATACCTGATTCATTCCAGCATTTGTAAATAACAGTGTTGGATCATCATGAGGTATTGTAGAACTAGAGTGAACATATTCATGACCTTTACTTTTAAAAAAGTCAATGTAAGCTTGTCGAATTTCCTTGGCATTCATTGAGCTGGTCATATTAAATTTTATTTTCTCCTTTCTCTTTCCTATTAATTCTGAAATAAAATAATACGCGATGAAAGGTATAAAATAAATTGCAACATATGGAAATAAATGTTTTCGAACGAATGAGCGAAGAAAACAATTGAATAATGAATGATAATTGAAAAATTGTATATTTGTGTTGTAATATCGATATTATTATAACGTTATAAGGATTTCGAAAAAACTCACGTAACGCTGTATTAAAGCTTATTCAACCTAGATATATAAGTTTATATCAAAACAGCTGGCTATACAACAGCGGTGATAACGTCTTTCAAAAGAGAAAGGAAAAACAACATGCACACAGCGTGGTCACATTTGGCATAATTGAGTCCATCGGCGGCGACACTAGTAACGACGAACTTCCTTAGCGTTTACCAGAGTGGTGGGGAAAGCCAACATATCCTCCTGCATGAGCCACATGTTACGCCAGGTTAGCACTTCACGCAATTTCGGGAAATCGATAAAGAACATGAATGGGAGCCTTTCCTTCATGGTCTTGAACGGCTGAAGTCCGTCCTCGTAGCATATAATTTCGATTCTCGACTGCCCAGGCATTTTTACGTTTCGAGCTATACAGGGTGAGGCTCGAGATTCTAGAGGCCAAAATAAGACGAAAATCAAAAGAATACCAATTTGTTGATGGAGGCTTCGTTAAAAAGTTATTAATAATTAAATTCAACAATTTTAAATCGTTCTGAAAACATTATTTTCCAAAGTGGAACAAAATGTTAAAAAGATCATGCATCAAATTGTAAGGGGATCCTCGTAAGAAGGCTTTAATCTTCGTAATGGTTTTAATAGGTCGGTGATCAACAATGACTAGCTTATGGTCACTGGTGGTCAACAGTGAGGTTGACATCAAGGTCAGCGGTCCAGTGAAGATCTAGAAATGGTCAAGAGATGGGACCGATCGAAATAGTTGCTTTGTAGACAAGACCGTCTTAACTGTTAACTCTAACTTTGGCTCTGATTGGTCTCCCTACCCTTTCATTATCTTAGACATATAAGCAGGGTCACTGCGAAGAATTCTTCAGTCTCGTCGCGGATTCGGGAGTGGGCAAGTAGCCAAAAGTGAACCGGGGACCGCTGATGACCGCTGATGGCCGCTGCTGACCACTACTGACCAGGGCTGACCATGGCTGACCAGTGCTGACCAATACTGACCACTACTGACCAGTGCTGACTCGCGTTCCTGCCACTACTGACCACTACTGCCCGCTGCTGACCACTACTGACCAGTGCCGGACGGTGATGACCTATGGTAAGAACTGTTTAAATATTCTCTCCCCTCCTTTATTCTATCGTTTGATACCAATTTCGCGTCAATGAACTGATTTTGCCTTGCTTGCCTAACTGACGTTGCTATAATATGAATATTTTCTTACTTTACAGATGGTAACTACCCTATATACTGACAACAAGTAGTAAGTCCACAACACTTATTTATATTTTATTATTTTTATTTGTTTATTTGATGTAAATTCAAGCTTCGATATGTATAATATTGTTTTCTTGCTCGAATTCTTGTAATAGTCTACGGAGGTACTTTGTTGATTCTTCCATTTCGTTTGATTGTTTGGCATTGATTTAAATTGGTGTCTCGATCCAAGTTACATTCATTACAATTACGAATTTGATATGTATAACATTGTGTCGATGACACTGATAAATATAAGAATGTTCCTTTTAATATGTAGAACATGGTGTCGATGCATATACCATATTTGTTTTGAAGACACTGATTAATATGAGATTTTTATTTTTTAGTTAGGTGATGTCGTTTTTAAGTGTTTGATGTCTCAGAGATGTGACAAGTCTACCGGGCCAAACATGGATAAGATGTCTCAGAGATGTGATAAGTCTACCGGGCCAAACCTTGGTGAGGTTTTTGGCACGTACAATTGGAAATTAAATCGTAAGGCATGGGGTTAAGGTTCGACTGGTTGTATGCGTGCTGTCTTTGGCAAGTGTAGTTAGTACCTTTTGCTTAAAATTATAATCTTCTTGCACACCGCGATTTTTAAAATGACAAATGTCATAGTAGATTCATTTTTAATTTGACACTCGTTTTAAAATGAATATATAATGAGTACATACAACATATATGAGTAGTATCACTTTCTCTCGTTCGCTTGTTCTCTGGTTCTCGCTTTCCGAGATTATGTCTCGACCGAAAGGATCGGAGAGTTTTGGCTCGATCACCTCTGTTTGATTGAATGAAACATGTGACGCCTGTGTATTAGGTGTGATAGCTCTTACCGCTTCAACCCTGGTGCAGCTTGGTTCAGCTTAAGTGGGGCCTCACCGAGCGCATATATTCTCCTCTTTATACGGAAAAGAGAATGACCTCCGGTGAGAGTTCTTGACCCATATCCGTTCTCGAGTACTAAGCGGGTCCTGTTGTGACCGTGTGTCCTCCAGGGCCCGGCGGTTGTACGTAGAGAGGTCCGATCGACGTGGGTCAGGGGCGCGACTTGCTTTTCTGATAATCAAGGCCGGGGGGGATCAATCTGATACCCACACTCACTGCACGCTTATGAGCACGTGTCGCGTCGCGTTTTATTTAAGCGTGCGATGTTATTACACGCCGCAATTTTTAATATGACAAATATCGTAATATCAATCGAAAGTAGAGTCATGATTTTAATATCTATTATAATACTTATAATTATATTAATTTTAGAATGAGTGTCAAATTAGTAGCTTCCGATTTTTCTTTACATTCTTCAATAATTAAATTCACTTTCATAATTTAGTTGACGACTTTGGGTATCTTCGATATCGAACATACCCAAAGTCTTCCTTTACTTATTAAAATATATCATTAGATTGACTTGCAAGAAGATATTTCGCGACGAATACATTTTAGAGTCAAAGTAACCTCGTATATTATGTACTATTTTTACTTTCTCACTGCACTTGCCTGTAGTTGCAGTATTTGTAGTTTTATAGATTCGGTGTTGGGTATATAGTTCTTGCATGTGTCAAATGTTTGTTTGTTCTCTTACTAATCTATTAAACAAGTTTCTGTTACAGAGCATATTCCTATGGAAGTTTCAGGTATATAAAAGTAATAATTAAGAATTGTTACAATTTTATTTGATACTGCTTTGTTTGTGTTTCAGAAAATCATCGTGGGATAAATAGAAGATAGAAGAAAGAAGAATGTATATCATGTATTTTGTTTCAGATTGTTTAGTTTATGTTTTAATAATTTAAATTTATAGTTAGGTAGAATATAACAGTAGGCAATATTTAGGTCTATTTCTCTGTTTTGTTCATGAGAATTTAGAGGCAAATTCGTTCTCGAAAAACTCTTTCGTTGGTTATTTACTTCGTTGGTTGTTTCCTTCATTGGTTGCACTTTCATTTATTGCTTCTTCGACCAATGATCGCTGGTCACAAAAGATCTTTATAGATCATATAATCTAAGGTCTTTATAAATAATATAAATTAATGGAGGGTGGTTGGGAATCGGTTAGGGCGGGTCTCCATTCGCAGCAACCTCCACGTGGTGAGACCTGGGTAATGTTATTTAGCGTTTAATTAATAATCGTATCACTTTTAGCCGGGTAGTGCAATTATTAATTAAAAACTAAATAATATTAGCAAATTGGCTGCGATCCGCCTTGCATAGGTCATCATAAATATAGAGCTTCTTCACTACGTTAGTTTTGATTCTCATTGATTCATCAAAGATTCTAAAGTATTGTCACAGATGAGGTATAGAAGTAGATCCTTCATCCAATGTATTTTTGCGGCCTATTTTTATGGGGTCCCGAAACCCCATTACCATTTTCCTGTTATTCGCAACGTTACCGACAGATTCAGAAATTAATCTACAGCTGTTTGCCTATCAATAATAATTCAGTGAATTTTCAGGTCGGTATGGCAGGCAGATAGGGCCACGAAAGTCCATAAGGTCACTCGTATATCTCATCTGTGGGTACTGCATTGAAATTATTTCTCTGCATCTGCAGTCTTAATTCCTAATGTTAGGGGCGCTGAAAACATATTCTAGCCGGAACTGATAACGTTGGAAACTACGAGGAAATGATAAGGGGGTTGAAAACCCCAAAGACATGTGAAACGAAGGAGCATTGTTTCCAATGTCCATTTTACACTTGGCTTTTGTTTGTACTTCGTCAGTGATTAGGCACGAGGGTAAATTTACTCTGCATGGCATCTTGGCTACCAGAGATGTCGCCATATTATCGAATCCGAACATTCTCTGCTCACGAAGGACTAAATTCGAAAGTTCTGACTATAATACACCCACCCCTAAAAGCTACAAGTCTTCAGATCTAACCTTTAGCCCCTTTTTACTCTTCTATGAAGGAAGTCCGTGATATTTGATCCTTGATTGATAGAACGAACTAGACTTCTTCAGAATTTCGATCAGAATTATTTCCTGGTATATTTTTAACAAACCAAAAGGCGTAGAATTCAGGATGAAAAACAAATAAAACGTTTCTTCCGTGCAGCGACGACAAGAACGAGACATCGAATTAATAATACTCGCAGAAAATTTGTCGCGTTCGACGAGACAAAATTTCGAAGGCATTAACGACGTTCGGTTTGGACATTTGTTCGAAATTCAGGTCGCGAGCGTATTTTTATATCGGGTCCGCGTTAAAAATTCAAACAGCGCGACAATTAATAAACTTTTAATTATTTTTCCGCGTCAAAGGGCCCTTTATATCGGGGCGTCATTATCGCCTTAAAGCGATGCGAAAAAAAAAATTTCACGATACATCGAAGCCCATAATTCGTTTTTCAAATGAGAATTATTAAACGCAGTTCCGCGCGATTTCTGAAAAAATCCACGAGCGTCATTAGACGTAATTGTTGATTTTAATGAAACAGTCTTGCCGCGTCGTTAACATCGCCGAAACAGACAATGCTTTACTCTCGCGAGAGTTATTTAAAATTATCAAAAGAATCTTGAAAGCGATCGCCAAAGACAAATGATAACCAGTAATACAGATTCGATGTTGAAAACTTTTAGAATGTTTCAATTATAGTTTAGATCGAATACCTGTTTAAACGATCTCGTCAGCGATGGTCGAAAAAGGGTACGACGAATTGATGAAAATGGGGAATAGGAACGCAGTGGCGTTTTGTTCAGAAACTTTATTCATTACATACACTAGCCGACTACTATGCATGCGTTGGGGCATTCAGATACAGGGAGTTCGCTTGCGATCCGAAGAACGTTGTTTAACGCGCGTAATTCGCGAACAACGGCGTTGTTTTTATTCATTTTCGTTACTTCGTTTCACCCTTGCCCCCGT